AAGACCTCATATAAAATCAAATCTTATTTAAATCAGATTAAATTAATTAATGACAACTCCAAATAATTACGTCGCCTGTGATGGACTGCTATTAAACGTGGTATAGATTCAGCTCGGTAAATTCAACTATAAATTTGCATCCCTTAACGTTAAAAGCTAAGATTGCTGTACCTTACACATGACCGCTGGCTTAATAGATAATTCTTTCGAAAGACGTAACCGACGGAAGATAAGCACAAGATATTGAAATTGGAACTTGAGAGATCTCTTTCACAGGGCAGGATTACTACGATAGCGGGCAATTGAAAAATTCCTCTCAGTGAAAAAAAACATTTTATTGTAAAAATATAACAAATGAAATCACAACGGGGCATGAGTGAGATAGTTCAGTTATTCCCATAAAATTAATGGATGATCTGAAATTGGCCGTGTTACCCTCAGTCGGAGAATAAACATCAGAATAATATCGCACCAACGACCTGAAAGTGTTATATAGGGCATCCTAACACAGAAAGACTCTACCCCTTTAAGTGGTGATATGAATCCCTTGTGCATCGAATAGCCTCGCATTAGGTGGTGATTCGTATTCATTCTACGTACACAGCATTGTCTTTTCAACTTAAAACATTGCGGGCTTATTCTGTAGTTTAAATAGGAGTTCAGCTACAGCTTTCCACCGGAAACTACACCCACATTGTCCACTCTACTTAAATAGGTAAGCTGCTTAAAACACAGTCCATTACGTGCTGAAGTCAACATTAGGAAATACGTATACAAATTAACAGCAAAATCTATTACTTTCGAAAACTTATAAACAGAACCACCTGAAGATGACCAGTTAAAGTCGTAACATGTAGTTGATTCTTAATAATCCATGAAATTGTAATGTCATGGTTGTATGAGCCGGGATAGCTCAGTCAGTATAGTGACTAGCTACGGGCTGGACGACCGGGGTTCGATCCCCGATGGGGGCAGAGGATTTTTCCTCTAGCCTCTGCGTCCAGACCGGCTCTGGGGCCCACCCAGCCTCCTCTACAATGGGTACCGGGGTCCTTTCCCGGGGGTAAAGCCGGCCGGGGCGTGATGCTGACCACTCACCCCCATCTCGTGCCGAGGTCAAGGAAGAGAGGAGCTATACCTCCACTCACCCCAAACGCCTACATGGCGTATAGTGGGACAAACTTTACTTTTAATGTCATGGTTGTGTACACGGGCTATCAACTTTACGATCAAAACACAACAGGATGCATTCGCCAAAACACTTCGTTCCATTAACACTAAAATTTCATATAAAAGATTCTTTGAAATGAGTGGGAACTTTACCGTTTTACTTTAATTCAGTTTCAAAATACGCGTTTCCTGAGCAGTCCTAGGACGGATAAAATTTCGATGATTAAATTTAGAAAGATCGATTGGCGAAACACGAAAAACACACAGGACGCGATAAATTTAAGATGGCTGCCTTCTAGGTTGTTCGTGCAGTGTAGTCTGGTAAAAGTTTATCGACATTTTTTTTTTAAATCAAGCATCGTCATTAAAATATTATTAAATGGAACTTCTTATTCGAACATATTCTTCCACTTTATATATTTCAATAATTAATTTCACAAGTCAAAGAAAAGAATAAATATGTAATTACCTTCAATTTTAGGTTTGCTGGATAGAGAATTTGTACAAAATTTACGCTGAAACTAAGGTGACAAGACACCTTTAAAACAATCGAAGACGCAAGGCGACAGTCTTATTTTCCGGCGTCTTCCTCTACGATTTCATTTGTTACCGGAGTCTTCCGCCATTTTACTGAAATCGAGGTAACGACACGCCTTTCGCACTCTTGAGTGCCTCGACTTAATTTTCTTTTTAATTTGTTGGCTCATATTTTATTGAGTCGTTCCTCGAGAAACGTTCCAATTTCCATGGAAATGAACGGTGAAGTGTTCTGTGCTGCTCCCTAGCGCTCGCGTCGAAAACCCATCTTGAGTACTTCTGCGTCATCTGGTGGAAATGAAGACGCCAGTCAATTGCTGTACGCCGCTACGCAGAACCGAGTTTTACAAAAAGTTCTTCCTTATTCCTTCAAAATTCGATTTATATATGTCTGTTTGTCCGTCCGTCAATTACGAATCTCACAATACTACGTAACTACAGGCACTGTACTACACATGAAGTGGGTTCAATTCTTAACACCACACGGCGCCTTCAGGATGGCAGCTGCCAATACGTTCAATAAAAGTATCGGACAGCCGACAAGGGATAGTCCTCCGGCTCCGAAGTAAACTGATACGCTAAAAATCCCTTACCGACGTTAGCATTCATCCAAAGGACGCATTTACAAAAAGGAGTTTCACGTTTCGCTGTCGAAGGCTCAGAAGAACTTAGCTGAGTGGCTGGAGTTTCAGCTCAAAGCTCGAGTTGAAAGCCTCACTGCTTCAGATATTCAATTACAGTTGTTTAAACGACTCGCAAAATCTTGTCTGTCTGTTTATTCAAAAGCTCATTGCACCGCCGAATGAGAAATAAGCAAGTTGATTGTGAATGGTTTGTCCTAGAGCCACGAAAGAGCAACTCACTTTTGAATCCGTCGCTCTACGGCGTTCAAACAGGTGTTTCGCTGCAAACGTAAACCTCCACACGCGTTCCACTCAAGAGAGAAATTCATTTGTCTCCAGCTCAATTTACCATCTGCTGACAGACGTCTTATATCTTTTCGTTCTTCAAGTTCCAGCGGTGCGCCGTCAAACAGAACACGAGTTCTTCCTTCAACATTCTTAAACATTTACTATTTCTCATCAACCACTTCAAAACATCTGTCTTCGAAACAGCCTTCTTCAGTAACCTAATCGTCAATCGTTGAAAGTTAGATAAATGAAGCATTACCTCTAATAAATAGCAGCACTTCCTAAGAACCCAAAGATATCAAATTGTAAAAAAAAAAATCAAGGAATGGTGATTACACTGAAACATATTTAGGTTTTATGGCAGTGAAAATGGCTGTCTTCTGGGTTTGGTAGAAAACGCCACGGTGGTCCAGCGGTTAGAACGCTGGCCTTGTAATCCTGGGGGTCTCGGGTTCGAATTTATAACTTGTGTTGGGCAAGGCCGTGGTCTAGGCAACACGGAGTTTTCCTCCGTGGCATCCCAACAATTACTCCATTCACACACAGAAGAAGGCAATGGCAAACCACTTCTGGATCATCTGCCAAGAACGTATATGAACAGGTCCCAGTCCGAGAAAAGGATGGAAGGATCCTGTTCATATGGACCGACGTTTCAGAGGTCCTTGCTACCTCCAGAAGGTAAACGATGGTAAACTTCTACCCAGAAGACGACCATTTTCAAATTCAAAGTCGTTCAAATATGGCCGCATGGTGTGTGAATAAGAAAACAACATAGGCTTATGTCTCAAAGCCGCGCGTCCCCACGCGCCAGAAAAGTTAGGCTTTCACATAAGTGACACTTCTGTGGAAAAGGCGTTCTAACTAAAGTATTAGTACTTAAAAACACACAAAGTACAGACGCCTAGTTGATGATAGAAGTTTTATGCCCACCGTAAAATAATTATGGACGCTTTGGTGACCACAACTGACAGCGTTCACGTTGAATTTAAACATCGAGACGAACTACGTGTATCCATTTTAACGCAACTTATTTTATTAGAAAAGTGCATATAAACGAAGCAATGATATAAAATGTTAAAATAGGGAATCAGAATTTTTCACGGAGACGAAAATCCTAAATTTGCCCAGACGCGGTCTCATTCAGATGACCTCTATCGAAACCGACATTCCTGTAGAATTTATTATAAAATATGTTAATTTTCAGTTGGAAGGTGGATTTTGGCAGAAAAAATGCCATCTCTTATCAGATTGTTAGAAATACGTTTATGGAATATTTTGAAAAATTAGCTTTGGATACGTCCCCATAAAAAAAACTTCTATGTGGCTCGTGTGTGGATACCAATTTTGTCGTGTGCAGAAATTTCTTTCGATCATTGGCAGTAGATTATCAGAACTTCCATACAATTCCCGGACAGGAACACAACGTGAAAAATAACTCCGTTTCTGAATGCTGTGGTTCGTATGAAGGGAAAATCCCTATCATCCAAGGTTCATAGAAACCTGGCTCATACTGGCCGCTATCTGCATTTTAAATCTGGTAATCCACCTCCCGTTTAAGAGGGGGGTGGTCCACAGTTTAATCAATAGAGGGAATTGTATTTGGAAGGAAAGACTCGAATCCATTAACGAGCTTAAGAACATTAGACGGGACTCGGCATGGACATTCACATTTCACTCGTCCGGTTATCAGTAAACGAGGGGTTAAAGTCGTCCGGAGACACTGAACACAGCGCCAGAACGGCGTTCAAAACCAAGCACGTACCACGTTAATAAGAAATAGACCGCGGCTACTGAAGATGAGAGACAATCCATTTATAATCCACCCCGCGGACGTGACAGAAGTTACTTTAGAGAAATAGGTAGACCACCTGGTGTACGGATGAGGAACATATTAACAAAATTGGATCTGATGGAGACATCCAAGCTATCTCAACATGGAGCGAGCAAGGACATCGCAGAGTAGACCAGGGAATTACTAATAACATGTGCGACCTGTGTTCACAATTTAATTCGGCAACCCAATAGATGAGGTCAGCAGGCTGCAGTACAGTTCGACCTAAAGACTGTTTTTGTGCCTGGGGAATCATTCCCTGAGTGACCAATTACGACTGGTCTCAGTTGGGACTCTGAGGATTTTAGACGTGGGAATTATTTAGGATCTGAGGTTTTCACGGCTGAGTATGAAGATTTCTGCCTTCTGAGTTGTTACGCCGTGTAGTCTGGTACAAGTTTGCCGACGTTTCAGAGGTCCTTGCTGTCTCCCTAATGATAGAGGCAGTAAAGACATCCGAAACGTCAGCAAATTTTTACCAGACTACACGGCGCAACCCAGAATACAGTCGTCTTCATGGGAATTATTCCCTCTTAGTTTAATTATTATCCCATGTTTATTCACTGTATTATTTGCAAATTAGAAATTTAAGTCTTATCAACCACGGAAGGACGCGGAGATAAGAGGTTTATAAGTGACAACTGGCGTATTCAGAATTTTCTACGAAGGGAAATTTTTTTTGAGAAGTGTAAAACTTTGTGAATCACCCTGTCGTGAGCAAACTTAAGTAACGTCCTGTTTCATACCAATCAATAGTTACAAATTAGTTTCCGTCTCTTTAGACGGTTCAAGCTGCATTGGCGCTTGCTCGCACAGTTCAGATCGTCCAATTCTTCACCACCTGATGCTCCAGCCTCGGACGATTAATCGATGTTGCTGACGTTTTATCGAGGCAATTCCAACATCGATCTCATTACATATCGACTGACTCCACCGCCGTTATCCCAGTCACGGAAGAAACGAGAACTGAATTGTACTCGAGTTTTACCCATCTACACTCCGACTAACAAATAATTTAAAGATTTCGCACTGAAAAAGACCACGTCTTTTACAACACATTGAAATAAGACGAATTTTTATACTCTTTTCATGCACAGAGCCGACGTTAGTACTCTGCGATATTAATCGACACGATTACTATCGATCATGAATTAGACAGACGTACAACACTGCAGTCGTCGCCAATTTTAAGTAATATACATGCAAGCACATTACCAGAAGGCATAGCTACAACATTCTGTGGTCCAGAAGCTTTATACGCCCTACCAGAGAGATGCACAACTGGTAGAAACCAAAATGTTAATCACCTGTTTCAGATTATGATATGGAGAAAGTGTCATAAAAGAACCGAGGTCTCTCTACACGGCGCAACAACCCAGAAGATTGCCATCTTGTGACCCACCACAAAGAAAACCTCAGATCCTAATTAGAAAAGTGACTCTCGTCAGAGTTGCAGAACTGCGGTAGACGTAGCAAAACTGAGAGGTGAGGAATAAGAGAAAGGTCAAGAAATGTTTACGTCATGTTATGCCAATAAAATCTATTTCACTTTATCCTGTCAACCTAATTGCACATTTTTCAATGTATTTGGAACATATTATCTGATCACAACATTGATGCGTTACGCATTGGTATAAAAGTTACTTTTTAAAGTCACGAGTTGTTCAACTTCTTTAAAATTTGTACAGAAAGAAGTTTCCATCAGAAAAATCTGTAACTAACTCAAAAATAATCAAGCCAAGACACGAGACTGGAAAACACGTAGCACGTCGGGAAACAGAGAAATAATTAGAGAATTACTATGAGAAAACATTATTAGCTTATCAAAAATTACTGCTCTACGGATTTCTTTTTGCGAATTACAGATGACACTTGCACAGCGTCGGGGATCAATCTATTGAAATATTCTGGAAAGGATGTCAGAATCTGGAATTTACTACTGAGGTCGGAAATAATAGGGACAATTTTTAATAAATTTTATGGTCCTTGGAAGGTGTTCTGGCTTGAATTTCCTGAAAAATGTAGATCTCAACCGCATGTGGTTTTTAAGCATGAACCATCAACATTCATGCGTCAAAATGTCCATGAGAATATTGAAACTACAGCGCAGCAGTTGATCTCTTCTGTAAACTCTCAACAAATTCTTGGTTGAAAAGTCTGAACCGTTACTGGTCTTCCTTGATGTCCAAATCAGCCCCTAGATTGTTTCCTCCTCTCTTTATAACCCGACATCTCTGCAGACAAAACGTTCCACACTAGCCACCTCTGCTTCGTTACAACTGTCACCATCACTTAGTCACATATGAATAACAGCAACGCCATCAATGGAACGACAACCATTTTAGTATCACGAGAACTCTGATCTGGATCATTAAATTCTACCATCGAGTTGCACCTCCTCATCTGATACGACTCTTCCCACTTATAGATGCCATCAACATGAGAACCAAGCGTGTGACACATGGCACGGATGGAGACAGAGAACGTGCGCGCATTCTTTCATTGCGGAAAGTTATCCTGTCCTAGAACAGCGACCAAGACAGCCCAAACAACAGAAGTCGCTGATAAAGATGTTATAAAATACACGAAGCATGAGCAACGGCACATAACGTCAGGAATATCCCCATATATTCGACTACTTCTGTTGATCGCACGTGAATGACAGACGCGATTTCAGGAGCCTTGCCTCAATCAAGTTAAAAATTCTTTACTAATGGAGATTTAACTTATTGCAAAGTTCTTCGCAGAGGGATAGAAACGTCATCGCGATAACTAGAAGCAAAACACGTGATATGACGTACCTTAACAAATAATGAGCCAAGTACGAAGACACCAAACATTTTCATCGTCAGCAGCTACCAACAAATTTTAATTTACTGAAATGTTGGATACAAAAATGACGCCAAAGTCAGCGTCGCAATGAACGTACTAAGTACGCGGGATTGAGGAATGTGACGCAGAAGACTCGGGATGTTGGACTGGTGGACGGGGTTGAAGAATTAATGTCGTGGATGGGTCCTTCAATAATCATTCTCATCTCATAACATCCTCTTCCAACAAGACACATCAATGGTACAGAATGCAAGACAATCCATCAAATGAGGAAATCCTGCGCCTTGCTAACAAAACTGTTTTCTACATCAATTTGTCAGTATTGTTTACTATGCACAAGTGCAACAAACACAAATTTTAGTCACTGTTTCTCACTTTCTTAAATATTCACATCTTAAAACAGGTTTAACAATTTACATGCAAGCTGAAACATTTGACTTGAAACAAAATGAAGAATGAAAGTATAGAGAAAATGTACAAATTATCTGAAATGTTATTTTGCAAATGCGTCCCTAAAGAAATTCTTTAGTCAGACAATGTTCGAGTTCATTGCGATGGAGCCACAATTTGCAACATGTTGATTCTGATGATGACTATTCTTCCCTTCTATTAAAACCTGTACTGAAAGAAAAAAACCAACAGGTTATAACAATTCACGCACGTACATGTGCAAAACTTTACAAACACAGTACGCTGCACAAGAGAGACGAGGCAAATTCCTGTTTTCATACAAAACTCATGAGAATTCTCTCTTAACACCACTAATGATAATATTCTGACTCTTCAGTTTGGAGGTGATTGCATATACATACACAAATATCACCACTCGACACCAAGAGGGCCCAAGAGATCCATTCGGAAGGTTGCCAGATTTTGGCAGACACCAAAAACACGCAAGATTCACAATACTGCAATACATGACGGGAAAAACGCTGATAAGGTAGCATTACACCATAAATGGAAACATATCAGCATATGACTTTAATGTTAAAAATTAATGTGTCCGATCTCCATTACAAGAACAATGAATCCTGCTGACATTTCTTCCAATACCTTAAACCACAAACTCAGAAGAAGACAAAAAGTACGGATCATTTAAACGTACCTCCGTTCACACCCTCAGCCAATACATGGACGATCTGATGCGGGCGTAATCGGGCAGATTCTCGACCGGACCGACGGCCGCCACTGCCGGGCACCGGTCATAGATGTACTTCATCGCTACCTCTCGAACGTCTTTAGCCGTCACCTTCTGCAAGATGCATAAGAACAAAGTTGGTATCGTTCAGAACCAACCATCGTTTAAAGAACACAAACATCCAAGTCCAAAGCACTGTCCCTAATACGCAAGCTAAAAGGTTCTGATCCAACAAATCCACAGAGAATCAGGAAACGGCTTGGCTATACCTAAGAATCGTCAAGCACCTCTGTTAATAAGGAACAATAATAAACACGGCGAAAGTGGAAGGAAACGGGAAAGTAATGGTTAAATATCTGGCAATATTACGCTTCACTGTTATTACTGTGATGAATCAGTGAGGTTAAAACTTTTGAAACTGACTATACATTTACACTTGGCCTATTTTTTCAACATTCAGTTATTTTAATAACTTTATTTATTAAATAACGTCACTTTCAAAACATTCAAACAAATTTTTCTGTACCAACACCGACAAGACACATCACCTCTTTCTGTAACAGCTGCTTATGATATGATTAAAATGCGACACAACAGTAATGCAATAAACTTTAATTCATATGGCGTCGCAATCTCACTGGTTTATACCGCACCTGAAGCGACTCACTACTCGCCTTAATCCAAAGACCTCATCAAATTACTACACTTCCTCACCTCAATTCTGGATTCCAATTCGTGAAGAGGAATGCGACGATTGTAGCACAGCATCTGGCGACCGATGTCCTCGCAAACGGGCGTCGTGCCGTCTAGCTGAAGCAACATACTGGTCTTCAGCAGATTCCGAGCCCTTTCTACCTCGCCATCGGTTATACTGGTACATAATCTCATCCACTCAGTTTGAACATTGAAAAGCATATCCTACAAAAGAGGAAAGATAACTCGCTATCAATACAGTTACCTCAAAAGAAAACTCGAGCATGACATCCTCATAACAATTAATTTTTTTATTACTATAAAACAGTTCCACAAGAGATTTTCAAGTGTCCACTAATTATATTTCTGTCATTCTGGATTTCAATGAAAATACCCAAAAAGTGTTCTTTACTGCAAATTTAAGACATTACTTAAGTCAGGGTTCCGGTTTACGTGTGTAGGAAGTAATGTTTCCAGAGTTAAAACATGGATTTGAATTTCAGTCTGTCACTTTTACAGATAATTGAACAGGTATTAGTAGTTGGCACAATTCTACAAAACAGTCGCAACGAACGACAGACCCACGATTTAAATGAGGGGGAACCTGGGCCTCCGCGTGCATCTTCTCACCTCACACTGGAGCGGATCACAGACGAAGTATATTCCCCAAAGGCCCGTGTCCGTGTAGCACGTGTTGAAAGACTGAAAGCTGTGCGCGAGGTTGCTCTCGGTAGCCGCGGCCGCAAGACGAGAGGCGTTGTTAGTTCCGCCGCCCTGCGATCGATCCCACGCGCCAATTACTGTGTTAGCCACCATCAGTGGGATGTTGTCAGAATCGGACCAACCGCAAGCCTCAACAGCGATCGCAACATGAGCAAGTGGCATCGAGTCGTCACGTACTCGGATCTCAGAGCCTGCAAGAAGGTTCCTGTATTCTCACACAGTATACCATCAATTTAATTTTCTCGTGTATTCTCAGGACGTAATAGTGTAATATGAGGGCATAAAGCAGAATAATCACTTGAGAAATGGATGACATTACAAGAAAAGGAATATTCGAGATTTAAAGAGTTCCAGCATAAATGTTATATCTCAGCAGTTATTACATTAAAAGTAATATTCTTGAAAGCTGAAAGGCTGCTTGTTTTGAAAGTGTTTCATGCCTTTCTCTCACAGAAAGAACAAACCCTGAGGATCTACCTCATTTCTGAAGTTCTTTATCTAAAATAAAAGCTGTAAAGAAAATTTGTGTACATCCTTGACACTGATGCATGCAAACGCTAAAGAAGAAAGTCACAGATAACCAACTAACATTACTGTAACACCACCACCAAACCACCTGAAATGACAACTTATCCCTAGATTATGTGAACGCGAATGTCTGACCTGTAAATCTGCAGTGTGGAAGAATAGGGATTTCTCCTTCATAAGTTGATTTGAGTCCACCAAACTTCTTTTCTGCAACCTTCGCCAGTTCATTGTGGTTGACACCGCCGGCTGCCGCGAGCACGATACGTGACGGCTTGTAGTGCGTCTTGACGTAATCCTGTAGATCGTTCCTCGTGATGCGTCTGAAGAGAAAAGACGCTGGAATAATGCATGTTCAACCAATCACAATAATTTAGAAAATCCATAATCAGTTTATAATGCAAAATGATCAGTACACCGCATAAACGTGGTAAAATAACTGGCGATTTTGCTAGTGACCAACGGCACGATGCACATCCGATCAATATATACCTTTTACATTAGTAGAGCTCACTGAAGGATAGTGATTGGCTCTATGAATTATACAGCTTTATATAAATTATCTTTACGTCACATTTTAACTAATGTAGTATAAATGTGCCCGATAATTTGTTCAGTCATTATTGAACTACATAAAAACATTATCAGTGAAGCAAATAAAACTACTTTCTTTGTAAGACGACTAACATTCCTACGTTTCACCTAGAATAAGCCAAAACACAATGATAAAATAGGTGTTCATGTGTAATCTGCACTGTCCGTGAGCTAACGTCAGCTGATGATGAACACCAACGGCTGGAATCCAAGTGTGACACATCAGAAAGATCCAAAAGGGTTGACGACAGTACCGACACATCATAGACCAGGAGAGATTTGACCAGAATAATAAGAATTCTTAGACCCAACAAGGACTGGAAGACTATGTTATAATACTTTTAATATTACAAACTTTACAAATAAACCCAACATATATCTCACAATCAAGTAAACTACATACTTGATTATATTGGTTGGTCCTAAGATGGTACGTCCGAGTGCAGTTCCCTGAAACGCCGTTGAATGAAGATGATCAAAAACAACTTCTTGAAGATTGCTTTCAACCTCCTGCATCTCACGAAGGATCACGCCCCTCTCTCGTTCAATTTCTGCCTCACCTGAAACAAAATAACAGACGCTATACAATATACTTAGAAACCAAAATTTCTATATACTACTGTAATGAATTTTACTATACATTTTTGGTACACCAAGGCAAGATGCATCAGCAAGGACCTCTGAAATGCTAAACGTCTGCCAGACAACGTGGCACTACAACCCAGGAGACACAAATCTTCAGACTCACCGCTGCGAGTAACCTAAAATCCCACTGCAAGTTGCTAAAACCTTTAAGTTAACAAAATGGCTGGGCAACGTACCGAGTTTCGAATTCTGGACAATGTCAGCAATGATGTCTACAGCCTTTGGTACATCATCACTCAGACACTTGGCATAATAAACTGTCTGCTCCCTAGAAGTATATGCATTCAAGTGGGCACCCATATTCTCAATCTCCAACTCCATGTCCGTCTGTGAACGGCTTGCAGTTCCCTATATAAACACACCATCACGTAGTTAGTGGAGAGGAGACAAAAATTGTGGCATTTTACATTTGATCACGAAGTACAACAAAACAAAAGGCAATAACTGGAAGGTATTATCTACACAATTTATTCCAAACGCGTATCTACGGCAACTGCCGAAAATAAATCCTGAATTTTGATACCGCAAACTAATTTTATACAAGCAGTTAAAATCTGACCTGGAATTATGATCACAATCTGTTAACCATCTTGCCTATTCCAAATTACTTTTCTTGAATGATTCCCCCACTATACACGAACAATTGTCCTGTCACTAAAGCATAGAATTTTCAGAATGGGTTTGTGGTCAGCGCAAAACTGAGAAAGAATGAAAACTTGACACCATATTTTAATTATCCTTGTAAATTTTAAGAAACATACCATTCCATTCGGTATGGCCAGGTATTAAGGTCTTAACACTTTCACAAAAATCCACATCCAACATCTAAACACCCAACTAGGACTTGCAGATTAAATAGTGTTGCACTAATGCAGAGTCACTTCTTAATTAGGGCTAAAGATTAAATGTTATCAAAATAATGTTTAACCAAAATACGCGTAAGTAAAGCTCACCTTGAAAGCCATATGCTCTAAAAAATGAGCAACTCCATTATTGTTATCATCCTCATATCTTGACCCAGCATCAATCCAAATCCCTACTGTGGCAGTTGGCGAACCACTATCTTCAGACGCTACACGTAGTCCACTGTTCAGAACTGTTACTTGTGTTGCAGGAACATTTATCAGCTTATGTTTATAAGCTTCAACTGATGTTGACTGCCATTTACAACCAACCTTCATGAAAAGAAATCACACAAATTATCAAAAGTGATTTGCAGGCTAACCTAATACCCGACCTTGCACGCCACAAGAAAAAAATGATGAAGACTGCTGGTATGTCACAGAAACAAATTCAGGCATAACATTTAATAATGGACGATTCTAGTGGTCTTAATGACTTTGGCAATCATCTGCAGAGATACAAAGTTAAAATCAAAGAGCTTTTGGAGCCTGTATCTGAATCCATCACCAGATCTGATTGTGCTACCTGAAATGTAATATAACCCAAGGCTTACAAACAATACACAGACTGTCACAATATGCCTCAATTAACACAGATCATAGATGAGCAAAGTAAAGTTAACCATCTTTGGTAGATGAAAAAAGCAAAAACAGTCTCAGCAACACTGGATTGGAACTCCATACCTATATGTCTGATTGCCCAAGAAGACTTCACAGCATTCAGTTACCATCTAAGCTTCAAATCTTATCAATCCAAGTCTACATTCTTTGCTCTGATATTATTATTAGCATTGTCACCATCATCACTCTGGCCATTATCATTATATTCCACAGGTGATTACTTTAAAAAACCCTGATAATAATGTCTTTGATACCCTGATAAATGTTGTTTAATGTCAATGAACTCATATTAAATTCTGTCAAAATAAACTTCATGAAATTTGCTAACAACAAAACATTTTAAAAAAGGTAATAATAATAATAAAAAACAAATTCTTTGACTTACAAATTAATAATAACCCAAACTGGGAAAAGAACACTGAATATACCTCCATACTCCCAAAAGAAAATCATTACACAAACGGAAGGAATTTAAAAAGAGTAAGATTTGAGGTTTTCACAGAGGTGAGTATGAAGATTTCTGTCTTCTGGGTTGTTGCGCTGTGTAGAATGGTCGATGTTAACCACCGTTTCAGAGGTCATACTGCCTCCGTCATCAGGGCGATGAAACGTTGGTTAACATCGACCAGTCTACACAGCGCAACAACCCAGCAGACAGAAATCTTTAAAAAGAGTATTTTGTAAAGAACCATTTTTAAGAAATGTTAAATGTCCTTCTCTTCAGAGAAATTCTTACTCACTATCAACGTTCATTTTGAACATGGAGACATCTCGAACAATTATGAACACAGTGCCAACCTGACTAGTGATCAAGTTGTTCAGTGCTCTTCAAACACTAAAAAAGTTTAAACCATGACTTAAATTATGTCTGTAGTGAACGATTATCTTTTATCTCACTCCTGGCGTGTTCCACATGATTGGCTTGTACTGGGAAAAATAAAAGTAATTTTAGTATTCTACGAACTTCTGTACGGCACATATACAGGCACAAGATGCTCTGAAAAACAACGCCAGGAGTAATATTTAAAATGGTAACCATACAGTCCATGAATTAAGGCACAGTTCTGATCAAAGTTACAACAAAGTATTAAATATGTTATATGTACTTTAACCAAGTTGGTGTTATTTCGGACCGCTGACCCCAACCTCAGCAACCTAGTCGCCATTTTCTTGAGAAGAAGCCCATATGCAAAGGACATAGAAAATGGGAAAGAAAATAGTAGCTATACGATGGTCGTATTACAATGTTTGCTCTCTGTGCCAAGAATACTCTGTGAGATTGGAGGAACTGGGAACCTCTCACGAAACGCTTTTGTGGTTTCCATGACACGAACGCTGAAGGTCACTCTGTAACTTGGCACGATTCATGAAAACTATTATTGTATTATTAAACACAAGATATGTCGCAAGCGGTAGACAAGCCACGAGATCTTCTGAACCAGTCACAAAGTAGCTGCAACATTTTATAACCATTCCGTTACGGTGGCGCGGTCTTATCGAAGCCGATCTCACCGTAAATTTTCTCCTTAGTTTCTGTCTGTGCTTGTATGTATTTGTGAACAACTCGTTTTAGGTTTCCAAGATATTTCCATTTTTATTGCTAGCATCATTGTTTTTATAAAAAGATTCCGAAGTGTCACTTCTTAATAGAAGCTGATTGCATGATTGTTTATTTTTCTGCTGCTTTGCTTCAAAAGTACTATCAGTTGCTGCAACAATATTATTAATTGTAAGAAATTGGTATCGTGGTCCAATCTCAGCCTGCATACAACTGAGCATGTGGACAACAAAGTCATTGTCAATCTCATTGCAGACTCATTCCATACCAAACTCACCCAATGATCACCCCATGTACATGCCAGCCCATTGCCAGTCCAACCCATGCAGAACCGTGCAACAATGGAAGCCCAGAATTTTCATTCATGCTGAATGTCATACAAGTGAAATTTGAAGGGATGTATATCAGTAGCATGTACGCACAAGTGACAGTAAATTATGTATATAATCTTTTATATTTAGGCTAGAGTTATTTGAGAAACACAGTAAAAATGTATAAGTCTAGTTGTAATGAAGTTCATACTACATTTGCAAAATTATAAATGTCCATTGTCTTGATACTAAGTATTTCTTATAAAGAAAGATAAAAATATTTCAATGTAAAAATTTAGTTTGTGTTTTCAACATATTACTTAATAAAGAATATATTATGCACCATGAGAAGTAATTATTTCAATAACTCATACTTATCTTACTGCTTATAGGTAATACAAATGACATACAGATGATTTTCTTATTTCTCAGAATTCATAATTAGAAACATCAATATCAACGTAAGCCCAGTGCTTAGCAGATAATAAATTTCTTGCAGTGAAAACTTTCATTTGTATTTTCACAAGAAAATGCTTTGGTGCAAACACAGGTCTTCTAAGTCGTAATACACCTGGAAAGAAACATGGCCCAAGTTAACCAAGATTCGTTCGGAAGAATGAAAATTATCATCAACAGCACAGTTAAGAGAACCGTTACCTATAAGAACAGATATTAGTAACTCATCCGTAACTGCAACAGAATAAATATTTATTAAATCAGAACCAGGTTTCATTCAGAGTCTGTAGTGTACCATCCTGGTGTGTTATGTTGATATTAGTCACTTTCACACACTTACATTTCACAGTTTATTCTTTTGAACTACAGATATCAGCCCAATGAGGTCATTATCAAGTTCAAATCCTTATATTTTTATGTACTTTTAGCTTACCATAAGTAAGCCTACTCATTCTGTTCTTTGTAGGTACAGAAAAAGATCTGACAAATAAAGTAGGTATACTAGTTCTAGAAATTTAAAAAAAGATAAAGCTTTGTTATGTTTTCATCTTAAATTATGTTTGGAAATTCACACTCACCCAGTTTTGTTCCTTGCCGGAAATCAAAGTAAAGTTCTTCATTTCCAAAAATAACCTCAAAGTAAACTTTGAAAGCCCTTGCTCTACCAAGAGTGACTGTTCTAATTCTGGTTATGACCTAGAACACAGCAGTAACAACACAGCGAAAATTAATTACAAAGATAGTCTAGATGAGTATTCCCTATCTGTCAAACAACAACATTTCATACATCAAACAACTATACTTACCATTGGCATATGCAAAATTCTTATTGTTGGTATTGATATGAACTGATAAGTTATAGTTTTTGTGTTATTCAACAGACATACATTGTCGCAGGGTTTACATTCCCTTTTACACATGATGCTGTTCTCCCGTAAATAATACCTGAAAAATGAGACAAAAATTAGTGAAAGTACTCTATTTTAGTATTTATAACAAAAGAAAATCGCTGTTAAACAACTTGTCGTAGAGGTACCTGTATTAAGCTGAATTTAAATGTTTCTGTTTCTCTTGCATACCAAATAAGTGTGAGGATAATTTTTTGTCCAGTTGTTGCTCACAAGATTCTAAGAAAGGTTGGCTAATCTGCATAATGCAGAAAAAATTTGTTTTGTTTCCTTTTACTGTTGTTTAATGATGTGGAGATTTTGAAGCATACAGTTTGAGTACCAATTTTTAGTACAGAGGATGTGGAGAAATGGTTTCGGTACTATCCATTGATTTGGCTGGAAGCACTGAGGAAAACAACAAATTGAATTATGGTTTATTTGACCTCCATCAGCCATGCATGATTGAGCTGTCTGTGTGTTGCACTATAATAGCTCTAAACAGGCTGGCAGCCCTGAAGTATGGGGATTCAAATCCCTTATTCCCGTAAATAAAGATTATGCTAAATAAACTCCTCATAAACAACAACACTGACCTCTTCTTTAACAACCGGAGAACTCCTGTGAAAAAGAGCATGATAATGCTCTGCGCTCGACTCCTTAGAAATTGCTGAAGCCTCACTTTTCCTCTCTCATGTCCAGTAAATAAAACTTTGGGCATCAATGTTGATTCTTAAACATTATTGAAGTGCCCAGTGTGACTTCTCGCGATCACTGGTTTCATCTTGTTTGTTGTGCAGTTATGTTTCTATTTCATTATCTTCCACACTGCTGTATTCTTCAAATACAACTAAGCCAATGTCAGTCAATAACTTAATTTCTGTAAGTTATTTTGCTTCCCCAGTTTATGGTTCAGAACCAAGGTAAAAGAAACGTCTTAACATTTCTAACGCTAGCTGTTCGATGCTGCCAAAAATAATCCATAAGTTTTAGACTTCTCCTTGTCAGAAACTTCTGGAACAGAATTCTACCTGTTCGATGCTGCCAAAAATAATCCATAATTTTTAGACTTCTCCTTGTCAGAAACTTATGGAAGAGAATTCTACCCTCAACCTGACATGGCAGAGACCAACATCCAAGGCTACAAAATTAACATGGCTAGAGTCTGGCAATAACCAACACTGGTCTAATAAGGGCAGAAAAGTTACACGAATTGTGTTCATTTGCTGAAAGCGCGAAGCAGAATTACGTGTATCCATATTTTGAAATTACCATACTAAACCAAACGTATAAATATAATTTTTCTGTGATAATTTCAGTTTAACAAGCACAAGTACAGTTTTTATTTCACAAGTTTAAAATCAGTGGTCAAAGGAAATGTATGATCTTTCATAAGGATGCATACTTTTATTTAAATACCTGAAATTAAATACAGCCAGCTAAGGGTACGGTGGCTATTTAAATTCAGTATGAAGGAAGTTAATGTTCAACAGCATAAGTCTTTTCTTATCTGCTAAAGAGTTATCTAACTTACTCATCAAATATTTTGGGGCAGTCATCTTATCACACATTAACTACAATTCCAGAATTGTTATAACATGAAGTAATGTAAAATAACTACTGTTTTGTAGCGTAACGTATAATTTTGTGTGTTGTGTGTCTCAATGTGTCCAGCAGAGGGTAAAAGAATTTTGGAATGTTATTAATTTGGTTCCTACAACTCTCACTTCTTTAACATTGAGACACAATAAAACTTGGTTCCATTTCACGTGCCAATTTTACACTATCATAATGCATGTTCAGTCTTCATGAATGACAAATTTCGTTAAGAAATGATTCACATAAATCAAGGTGCTTATAAAATAGGGAAAATTACAGAGCACTTAAGTTTTAAGAAATCCTTTGCATTGTTTATGTTCCAAGAAGTTTGTAAACCATGGTCCCTTAATTAAAATGTTTATTCTATGTCAGAGTTCATTAATTTTGTTACTATGTATTTTAGTGTAAAATGTCTTCATTACACCATTATGAAAATTACAATGTTTACCACAGAAACATACAATTATTCTATGTAGTACCTGCATAGATCTAACAAAGAAGAAATAAAATAGGAAATGATTTGTCTCTGTTCTTAGAAGCAATGACATATTTTCTTAACCGTAACAAAATACAGTTAATTTTCATGGTTTAAAATGAAAATAATCTTTTTAAATTTAGCTGTGTCATAATGACATCACCGACGAGCAAACACCCTTTTTCTAGAATATTTATTTCATCGTCACGCAGCTATAAGCATTAGACATTATCTACGGTGAGTCCCTGAATGGAAAAATGGAACAAAAGCCCTTCGTACTACTACTTGGAAATAGTCCAAACGAACCAACTTCTAAACTTGCATGTATTAACTCAATTTGTATGCATAAAACACAAACTATATTTCATTTTGCAAAATAGAAAAGCACATTTAAATTACGTGTTTTTTGAACACAAACTTGTGATGAAAAGCATTGCGTGTACGTGGCAATGGAGTTTGTTCTGAAAATCAGTAAAATGAAAAATTTAAAAAAAACAAAACATGCAAAGTCTTAACCTTATATCTGAAATATTATTCATTCAGCACATTTAGTTGGAACTAACAATTGTTTTATAAGATATTGTACATAGATCTCCCTTGATACAGACTCCATGTTGGAAGTTGGAACTCGTGTTCGAACGGTCGCATAAATTTCTTCCAACTACACGTACAACTTTCGATTAGAATAACTAATCTACGCATGATGGTATTAATATGTTTTTACTGAAATTCATACTTTAAAATGTTAAACAGTGCTATACTGTATTTGACTGTGATATCAAAACTCATATTCTGAAACAAATATCGAGAGCTTTGCTACTGCAGAACCTCCAAACACACCGCCATGATATAATTCCATAGACAATTGCAAGTCTATCTCTTGAGGACCTTCAATGGATTTTTTTAGCGAAATGATAGCTTGATTAAGAGCTGTCTGTCGAAGATGGAAGAAATCTTTGGTCGCTTTGAAAATTCCAGCAGGAGCTCGTGAATCTAGCATATCCAGTTTGAATCTGACACTGGAACTGGACCAGAGCGGACCACGCATGGTGAATAAGTCGATGTAACCCGTGGGTGGCATGGCAAGGTTCGACACAAACGTGATGAAGTTGAAGGAGATGCTTGAAGGCAAGTGAAGGCACTCGGTATCTCCTTCCCGACAGAAGAGGGATGCTCGCTTACAGCGACTACCAGCAACAGCAACAGCAGCAGCAGCAGCAACAGGCAACCGAGGAAAGATACAGAGATAAGCAGCGGAGCAGAGACAGGTTACTTCAATAGTTTAGCAAAATTAATTTTCACTGATCCAATTTGTGTTCATATTTTCAATTCTAACCAAATGCAATAGGAAGAAGAAATAAATAAATTATAGATTAAGAAAATATACAGTTTAAATGGCTTGTGGTTACTACTAAGCTAGGGCCACAAACTGATGAATCACACAGGAAATTTCAAGTTTGGTCATGCAAATTTTGTCATTAATAATAGGTAGAAAGATACTATTTTATTTTATTTAATTGCTTAGCTTAGCAGAGCAAAAGCAGTTTGTTATTATAAGCTACTTAAATATCTTACTGAGATGTACATGTTTATTGAAATATGCATTCCACACTTCAGATCCACTTCATGCAATGATTTAAGTTACAAATTAATGACTTTCATCTTATTGAATCTGATTTATTAATTAGGCCATTAGAAATTATTTCTTGTCAAATACTTATGTTCAACTACAGTTCCTGGAAGCTGCTTTAGACAGGAAAATTACTTGAAATTGTCATATTATTACGACATTATGCAACGGAACTTACTTCTTGTGTTCTGGATCTTTGATGAAGTTCGGTGGACAGGTGATAGAATTGCAACGGTGTCCTCCACGGGTGTTGAGGCAGACTTCATTGGGATTATGACAATTATTCCCACCCAAACATTCATCAATATCTAGAAAAGCAACTTACATATTAAAATAAATCTCATTCAATACGTGGCTATACTTTAAAGAAAATGTTTCTTTAGGTTTGGTTTCTGTAATTTTTAATATGCTGATTGAGTATGACATATTCTTAGAGGATAAAGATAAATTATAGCAAATTATATACTGTATACTGATCCTTGCTGTCTCCATCATCGGAGCGATGATGATGATGATGATGTAGGCAGCAAGGATTTCTGAAACGTCGGTAAACTGCTACCAGACTGCACGGCGTAACAACCTTACTCACCCTGACACGTTCTTCCATCAGTTCCAATGCGATATCCTTCTGGGCATTGACAGCTGTAGCTCCCTGGCTGGTTAACGCATATACCAACACAGAGATTGTGGTCTTTGAACTGTTCACACTCATCGATATCCAGGCATGATCTGAAATAAAACATGCAAATATTCTGGTACAATTTGCCTTATAGACAGATCTGTGTTGGAAGGTGAATAGACGAGTCAAACATCAATCTTCGTAATGAATTTGTTGCCACAACCCCATTGTCAATGAGATGTGCATCGTGAGTAGTTAGCTCGAGGATGCGAGAAATAGAACTCCTTGCGACTGAAATTAGGCAGGAAAAGTCTGTATGCGCTGTCTTTGTGATTTTAGATTTGAGGTTGTCAATAGTTATTTTGTGGTTTTGTAGGTGATCAGAAAACCACAAAAAATAATACTTTGTGAATTATGAAATATTATATTTGAAATAGAGAGAAATGAAGCCTTACTTTCAAGGCTGTGTACAATAGACTCAAATTTATTCCTTATGCTAATGAGCTAATGCAACAACTTGCCTATATAGAGGCGATTTGCTGTAGACAAGTTTAAAATTTCAAGGGATGAGATTTCAACCCTTATCATTGCCAAGTTCTGCAGTTAGAGTGTTATCTCACCTGTTATCATGTTTCAAGGCGAAACCCGGGTTGCACGAACATCTGTACGAACCCCAGATATTGATGCAGTTTTGTTCGCAGAGACCAGGAGATTCTGCGCATTCATCAATATCTACAACAATCGACAGTGATTATCATTACTAAGAAATTTATACTTTGCATAACAACATTTTCATTTAAATATTTTTTTTCCTTTGCTGTATCATTTCAATTCACTGTTTTCTGGTGGTGCTATCAGACCAGTTGCTCCAAATCTCTTGTATATCTTTTAATACCGAACAAAGATGTTCCTCTAACCTAACCTGAGAGACACAGCAGGCAAACCCACGCATTCAAAGATAATAAACCACGTGGCTTGGCCTCCCAATATATAAAAACAAGGGACGATAGTGAAAGTACATTTTTTCAATATTACAGATTTTCCAGTTTTTTGTGGGTTAGCCCACTGTTGCTCCTAGGTTTTCAGTCCTTCAGAGGCAGTTTACATTCACAAATAAATATTGTGACACTGAAAATACTACAAGGAATGAAGAAACACACTTGCCTACACAACCATTGCCTCCTTTTGGATCTTGGCGGAATCCGTCACTGCACGCGCAACGATAGGAGCCCACAGTGTTGACACACTTGGAATTGGTTGCACACACCTAGGAAAAGAAACTTTATTAATTACATAAATGCAGAGATTGCAAGAAATCCTTAAATTACTGACAGGGAAAGTTTATATTGCAGTTTAATTTATTTTTACAGCTAAATGACAGTGCCTCTACATTCCAGCCAACTGTGACAGACGTAAATTAACACCAATGCCTGCCCGTGTTACAAATGACTAAGAAAACACTGTTAAGAACAAATCTGTTAACAAAAATTATAAGAAAAATAATGAAATTTGTTAAAAATGCATGACTAAATTTCAAGTACATATGACAAAGTATTTACTCACCTGGCCTGCATACCTGGTACATTCATCAACATCAATGCATTCTTTTTTCTCATTTATGATATGTCCACCGGGACACTGACATACATAACCACCTACACGATTAATACACTGTTGACCATGTCCGCAATCATGTGTTGATTTTGCACATTCATCAATATCTAGAAGCAGCATTAAAATACAAACTCTAAAACACATGTTAGCACAATCCCTTGCTGAGGTTTTCCCCATGCACAACTACAAAATCAGAAGTGGCATTATTCAGGACATCCAGAAAGAAATATGCTAATTTTCTAGTACTATGGAACACAAATGTTCAGCACAACAGTAAAAAAATTTAGAGAGCAACTGGAAGTGGGAGGCAGCAACTGTGTGTAAAGATAATTATAAAATGAGCTGTAATCTAATAATTGCAAATTTTAACCTTGAATCACTGAATAAAATGCCGGCAAACAAAACATGCATATAATAAGGAATAAAACCTATAATATCGAGCCAATCAAGCAAGATGACGAAAGTGGTAATGAGTCTCACTTGTGTTTGGGAGCTGCCCAGTTTGAATCATGACCATGACAGACTAAACCAACTGAGGATTTTTGTGGTTACCCTGACAAGGGGACCCAGTCATTTGTCATTAATTATTATACCACAAAGAATAAAATAATTTATTTTTGCGAAGGGTTTATAAAACATAAATTAAGATATTAAAATTTTGTCTGTAGATGATTATATTCTTCAGACTGTTGACAGTTTACAGCAGTATATTTTCTACGACTATATCAGCAACGAAGAGACGTTATAAACAACTTACGGCATACTTACCAATGCACTGGTTCCCTGATTCATTCAATTCAAAGCCACCACCACAGTTCAGGTAGTTAATACAACGATATGAACCGCCAGTGTTGACACAGCGCTGATTTCGTCGACATGGATTGTTATGCTCACATTCATTTATATCTTAAACAGAAAAAAAAATTACATCATATGTAAAATTAAGTGTATGTGTAAAAAAAGAGCTGACTCTCCTAAGCACATCAGTCTCCAGAAATACTTCTTCATTATTTTCAACTGTTACACCAAATAAATATAAATTATCTACTGACTTACCAATACACTGGCCTTGCTGGCTTGCTTCATAACCAGTTGGACATTCAAGCAGTTTACATTCACCATTGTTAAGCAGCACTTTCTTGCCATCGCAACGCTTCCGTTCACAGCGGAAAGAACCAAGAGTGTTACGACACTGCCACGTGGGACCAAGATTTCTGCAGTTATCAGTCCCCAAAGAACATTCATCATCATCTGCAGGCAGAATACAGTCACTCAGTAACTTCTGAAGTAAAGAAAAACAACCAAGAACTACTTTAGGCTCGTCGTCACAGAACTTACCTTCACATAGGCCTGTCTGAGCGTTCAACGTGTATCCTGTACCACAGCTAGTATAGCGAATGCAGTGGAATGAGCCTATGGTGTTGTCGCAGCGCTGACTTGGCAGGCAATCATGTTTGTTCACCTGGCACTCATTGACGTCTGAGACAAATCAAAATGCAATTGCATCAAAATTAATAAATTGGTATTACTGTTGTTATTATGAATATTATTCAATCTTTATTGTATGGGGAAAGGCAATTTAAACCAGGGCTCTAAATCTAGGGTGAATGGCTTAGCAGTGCGGTAGCGTGGCACACGGCAAGCTGGACCGAGTGTAAGATGGAATGAATGGTTAATTAAAGTTCATTAAAATTACAATCGTCATTACCGTCAGGTTTATAATTTTTGCAAATAACATTTTATCATGGCACTGAATACGCTTAATCCTCCACATGCCCCTAAGACACAATTCTGACGGAGGCACAAGTCACTTTGGACACACATAATTATTTCTAATGGTACTCAGTAATTTTATTCTTCTCAGAACTTTAGGTTTTTCTAATATCTGTAGTTTTATTGTAAGTTTCTCACTAAAATCTGTTCCATTGAGCATCTTACCAACACAGGCATGAAGCAGGGAGTCAAACTGGAAGCCAGTCTTGCATACGCACTGGAAACTTCCATGTGAATTTATGCAGTCCTGATTGCTATCGCATGGGGGATCCACATTCTCTACACATTCATCAACATCTGCAACATATCAGCCCACGATATACGCTACATCCCACCAACACTTAGATGATGTAGAACAATTATCATAGTAAAATAAAATAAATCTTATTTATGTTCTTTTTCCCACATATCATAATATTTCCTGAAATTTTTGTTTTGTTGAATATTTAGTATCACATAAATAGTAAAACCCAATTAATCTCAGGAGTAAACTGGTAGCAATAACGAAGGAAAGATAAAGTTGAAATTATGAGTTCAAGTACCCGATTCAATAGTTTGGTGAATGTGATACATACATAAAACACGGCAAATTACTCAAATGTCACACATAAGGTATTTATTAGAAGTTTATATTACGTACCAACACACGTGTTGGTACTATGGTCAAGCTTGAAGCCTGCCTGACACTGAGACGCATCTGAGGACGTAGGCCCACACCTGTAACCTCCTGGTTCATTGATGCATGCCTCCAAATTGCAGACATGAGTACCCTCTTCACACTCATTCACATCTGTACAAATACAAATGTTCATAAGTATTAATAAATTATTAAAATAAACTTCTACACAAAGTGTATTATGCACAATAGTTTTAGTAACCACTTAAAATGATTAATATTCTTTTAAAAGAAACTTCAAAAATATGTTGTTTATTGGAAGCAAAGAAACATTATTGATTAAATATCAAACATAATTAAAAAATGTTAGAGCTAATTATGTTTACATCTATTAGAAAATTAAGGCACTGACTGCAAAAGTTAATCCTTCAATTTCAAAACTGAAATACAGTTCCTTCTTTGACCGCGGTCTGAGGCACCATGCTTCGGACTGGTGATACGGAAAGCGCGCTGGTTCGAGTCTCGGGGAAAGAAATTTCTCATGAGATTTTCAACCGGTGTATGGGACCGGTGCCAACCCAGCATCGTGAGGAAATTGGGGAGCTACAATGGGTAGCGTAATCCGGTCATGAAAACTAACAATGGCTGGGGGTTCGTCGTGCTGACCACACGTCACCCTATATCTGGTTGGATGATCGTTCCCCTCTGCTTAGGCAAGTAAACGTGAGACCAGTAGCCAGCTAGTCGGCTTTGGCCCTCAGAGGGCTGTTACGCCACTTATTATTATTACAAAGCACAACAGAGAAAGAGCTTTGCGGTGTCTAAAGTATACCTGTGCAAGAAGACATGCAAAAGTCACATGCAGCATGCTAAATGAAGCATGCAAGCAAGAATATGCATCAGTCCATATCAATACATTACAACATAATCTCTGAAGTTATGGAATTTAAGGCTGTTGAATTATGCACAGTGAAACTTGGTTATAACAAACACAGTACAGTTTTAATAACACTTCTATTAACCAAAATAACGAAGTTTCTTTTAAGCAGTGCAGTTCAATGTGTTGGTTAGTTATTTAAAGTGTATTCAATTAACTGGTTTGATAGCACCAATATACGGTAATTTTAAGTGGAATAAAAATGTTAAATTCTATGAAATCAGAATAATTCCTCGGTGTAACATTTGGCGATAGTTTTTATAAAATAAGATAAAGACACATTTGTTCATGAAAGATGCCAAGTAGGTACTGAAAATTACAACAGAAAACATGGTTACTTTCTACCTTCATTATTTTGGCAATTCAGTGCATATTTAAACAATAAAAGTTTAATACACATTTTCTAAATTCTTGGTTTCTGGTATTATCCTGAAAAAATAAAGGTAAAAGCAGCATTGCACTGCAAGCAGCTCCAAATCTCCCTGAAATGCACAATCTGTAAAAGAGTACATCTATTGCAACAATTTAAAAGCCAATGTTATTATTATCACTATGAATAAGTTAAAATACGAATTAAATGCATAGCATGAAACTGTGTTTGAAAGATACCAAAACATCTTCCACGTTGGGCATTGTATCGGAAACCGGCAGGACAGTACTGGTTGGAGTCCGGAAGACTTTGTTCCGGAGAGGTAGGTGAGATTGTCGTTGAGGACACGCTCGTTGAGCTGGGCCTCAACATTCTGATACATCGGAAACTTCCTTGCGTGTTTACGCAGTCCTCTTCTTGGGTGCATTTTAAGTGGTTTTCATCACATTCATTTACATCTGAGGGCAAGAGAAACATATTTATAAAGTCATCTTCAGAACCCATTAGTTATGTTTGTTATTAGCAGTCTGTCACGTTTTGGGAAAGAAAATGTAGTCTGTAAGACTTGAGGTTCTCACAGCGGTGAGTATGAAGATATCCGTCTTCTGGGTTATTGCGCTGTGTAGTCTGGTCGATGTTAACCAACGTTTCAGAGGTCATACTGCCTCCGTCATCAGGGCGATCATCGCCCTGATGACGGAGGCAGTATGACCTCTGAAACGTTGGTTAACATCGACCAGACTACACAGCGCAATAACCCAGAAGACGGATATCTTCATACTCACCGCTGTGAGAAATGTAGTCTGCATGAAATGTTTGTTCCAGTAGCAATGCTCAGCTACAGTTCTTGGAGCCTCAAAAAGCATATCTCAAATCTTCCCCTTTTCACCCCTCTCTCCATTTGCCCATACGTTACCTTCACACTTCAATGTTGTCTTGTTATATTGGTAACCCGGTGGACACTTTGGTGACAGCTTGCATATAAATGTTCCAGGCATGTTGACACATTGTTCCCCATCTCTGAGAGAGCAATTGTGCAACTCCATCAGACATTCATCCACATCTGTTAGAGAAATACCATAAATTACTCTGAAGTAATGGATTATATATTCTTCAGCTTAACTCAAACTTCAGTATTTTGTAAGAATAGCAAATAAATCGTTTCTGAAATTTTTTGTTACTGTTTAACATCAATAAACTTTTCCAAGATATTTATCAACAATTATGATATGGTTCCACAGAGTACATAATACATTACCCAAACAAGCCTTCCTAGTGTAACTGTAGCTGTAGCCTGAAGGGCAAACATCCACTTGGTTTTCTTTACTCTTTCGTCCAGTATGGGCAGGTCTTAAACTTCTTGGTCTACTTTCATTTTTGATCAAATTCACAATAGGTTCACATTTGAAGCTACCGATCTGATTGATGCAGGTCTCAGAATGTCGATCACAGGAATCAACATTTTCTTTGCATTCATCAACATCTGAAATATAACAAACTGTTACAATAATATGTAATATTTTTTAAAAACTTAGGATTTTCTTCTCAAGCAGAAATACTCTCTTGAGCTGTTCTATCAGCGACACCTGAAAGACTGATAGACTGGCTGGCATCAAGAACATTTTCATGATCACTGGGAATGGTTTCACCAAATTATTTAAAGAAAAACTTCGCCAGTTAACCTTCTTCTCACTTCCTGATTTTTAAGCTAGTCATCACGAAGCCTGAAGACATTTTGCAACAAGCCACACTTTTTTTAGCTTATAAAGGTTTTCAAGGAGGCCTTTTATGTTTCAGCAGTAATGTAATTGGATGTTTTTCGAACAGTGCATTTACAATATTAGTACATCATGACACAAATATGTTCCATTTTTACCTTCACACTGCTTTCCAATTTTTAAACTTGGTTTATAGCCAGCTGGACAGACGGTTTCTGGCTCACTGGTGCAAGTATAGCTTCCTATGGTATTTAAACATCTTCCCACTTTACAACTGTGCTGTCTGATATGACATTCATCAATGTCTGTCAAACAGAGAGTTTCCTTTTTTTACAGAGTCGCCAATTTTAAACTCAGTAACAGATTTACATATATTAAAGCTACAATAATTCTAAGAATACTCGAAATGACACACTGCATTCATATTGCAATACTTACTCTGTGTTAGGTTAATAAATCAATAAGTTTTTTCTCTGCTTAGTAATGCCTTGTTAATTGCATAAGTGATCGCATAATGTGCTATAGAGTGGTGAACTTTTTGGATGATGAATAGACAAGAATGCAAAGATAATAACATTGATGTAGAATGTGGCATGAAGGTATGAGAATCAAAAGAAATGTGGAGCAGAACAGCTTCCCAAACATGACAATGACTGACTGATGTACGATAATAAGGTCACTCACAGTGAACACAGAAAATCTAGAGCATTATTTTTTAGACTTTTCAGAAGCTCACCAAATATTTGAAATATGTTGTATAAACGTGCTTCTAGCAACAGGCATGACATATGAGATAAAATTCATATTAGTGTACTTTTTAGTTAATATAAATTAAATAAATTGTAATTAATACCACTCACCTTATCTAATTTGCTGTTAGTGCAGAAAGTACCTGAGGTGTTATCTATCCGTGGATACACATAACATGTAAGCTACACATAATCTAGGAAACTGTAACACATCACACAGTGTTATGTTGAAGTATGTACAGGTAATAGGATTAAGCACATGGATAACACGAACAACTGAAAACTTATTGCTAATCACAGAATGCGTAAGAACGAATAAAATGGTGCAGTGTCAACGTCTACATTAAAAGTATTTACAAATTACAGATTAAATTGTATTATGTGAAACTGAAGTACGGTTAGAACATTTTAGAACAGATTCGCAAGATAAAGAAGAAATTTCGATTGTTATAACATACTCTGAAATTAAAACATGCACATATTGCATATTTTATAATTATACAAAAGTAACTTTGTTTTCTCAACAATTTAAAATAAAAATGTAGTTTCTGATTATAAAAAAAAACATTTTTATTGATTTCTCAAGAGATAATAAAAGAATTCATGCACGAGTTCATCACTTTCACCACAAGAACCAGAACCGTGTCCTGTTTGTTAAAACATAAATACTCAATTACGACTCCCATTCCTAAAAGTAACTGTGTGTACAAATCAAGCACAGTGCTGGTTATATTTAGAAATAATTCTGAAAATAATTTAACAATGTAGAATGGTTCAAAAGTTAAGAATGACACATTTCTGAAGACCATATAAGAAGAAGCCCGAGAGATTCACACACCTAAAGAGAATAGAGAGTCACCATAAATATAAGAATTTCTTTGATATTTAGGCTAGTGAAAATTATTAAAACATACTGGTCAATCTGAAAAGTGGATAATCTGCTCAGGCAGAAATGAGCCAAGTGAAGACCAGCAGCGTATAACTAGGACTACCAGAGGAAAGCCAATCAGTGAGAGAAGTACAGTCGAGGTTTGTTATTACGACATATAAAAAATATCTATAAATATTCTACTAAAATAATTTTCATAACTCTTAGGCATTTTTATCTGTAAGAAATAAATGACACTTTATCACCAAAAGTAAGTAGATGTTGAAAAGATGATCTGTAAAGAAACAGAAAATCTCTGAAGATATCTGATACTAAACATTTGTTTTCAAAATTCATCCTGTGGAGAAAAGAAAACACAAGAAAAATAAAGACTGATATGATGCGACGATAACTTACTTGTACATACCCTTTGCATTTTAAACAATCCTGAATTCACTCATATTAATAATGTCTCACAGGAAAACTATCATTAAAAACAAGTTTCACTGCTCAAGTTTAGTTCAAGAGGACAGTCATGCATTTCTTGTTAGCATATCGGAAGCAACCGAGGAAATGTTAATATAAATGCCAGGGAAACTGATGGTTTTATGCATTTGAGTTTGAGAGATATTACCAATACACGTCCTATGAGCGAGGCTATACTGGTAGCCCGAGTCACACGTCATGTCACATTCATAGGCTCCCACTGTGTTGCGACAGGTCTCTTTGTCAGGGGTACAGCCATGAAGATTTTCCCCACATTCATCCACATCTGGTGTACATGTTACGTTGGTTACAAAAAATATATTCGGTAGCATTTACATGCTTAAAACATATGTAAAAGACAGTTAAATAAATTATATATTTTTAAAACATACAGCACATCTTATAGACAAAACAAAGTAGAAATGCTATGAAACCCCTCATTTAATATTTTGTTGCAATAAATTGAGACACAGCGTTGTTTGTATTTGCTGACGTAGGAACATTATTGATTTGTGGTAGGCATCAATGCTGCTGTAGGAGACAGTAATTAGGAATTAATTAAGTTTCTGACTTTGATGTGCAGGTCAATACAAACACACAATACTGTACAACTTCTGTAGGAAATGTGGATAGTCTCAGCATAAAAGATTGTCCAATTTAGATTCAGGTATTATATAGAATGTACAATGGTAGAGAGAGAGACAGAAAATTTGAATTCTTAACTCACAGACATTAGCACGACAGGATAACACATACCACTCTAAACCCTGCCAGTGTTTTACGTTCATTAACAGGAGTAGAGGGTTTTAAAAATTACGCTTAGCGGCATTGAACAGCCAACTTTTTATTGCAGCAGAAATCACGCTTGAATTGTAGTAATGTGTGTGTTGCGACTATTGAGAAACTACAACGAAAGTCTGATACCTGTTGTAATAAAAAGTTAACTATTCACCACAAATGTGATTCCAATTTGCAAATTCATCCATCATGCTCATGAGCAAATTTCATACCAGCAAAATAATTCCACAGACAATAACCAAACCAGTCATGCATGTACACACCCACAAAACTAAGAAGAACATAATATAAGACACCAACGCATAGACCTTCACAAAAACAAGGAATTTTGGTTTAAATCAGATATTGTGTCTTGATTTCTTTTCTTTATACTATATCTGCCTGTATATTTATCCATTTCTATCAATGTCTGTCCAATATGAGTTTCTAACACTGACATTTCTGATGTTACGGATAAACAGGCTTCAGAAAATCAAAACTGAGTTACTTTTTCAGATGCATGGTAAAAAAATATTAATCCACTAATCAAATAATTAGAACGAGACTAAATTCCAGAAATGCTTGCTGCCTTTCAGTTTTGTTTTGTCTTCTCGTCTGATTTCTAAGAACCTAAAGATTAAACTATACAAAACAATAATTTTGCTAGAGTGGTGAATATAGTTTTACAAACGCCTCAAAAGAGGAAAGACATTACCTTCGCAGGATGCAGCATCTTTACTGTATTTATATCCTGCTGGACACTTTGAATCATGCTGTGGCTGACAGGTGTAATTGCCCTCTGTATTAAAACAGAGATACTTGTCTCCTTGGCAATCATCCAGTCCTTCAGAACATTCATCAATATCTGTGTAAACAAAAATAATTACAAGCCTGGGTTCGGCAGTGCAACCACGAAAGAACATATTATAGGTTTACAACGAAAACCTATGAAGTTCAAAAGAAGAATAATTTATTTATACCAACTATTAACCCTCATGTGTAGTGTGTTCTTGGCAATGGATACCAGGATTCATTCCTTGGGAGAAAGTGGCCATGAAATGAAGCAAACTACTCACCTAACCTCAATCTAATATAAAGATTGCACCTCCATTCCCCCCCATCAGTGGCACGCGTACCATAGGTTGAGAAACACCGTGTTGGAGTATTCTGTCTACATTAGAAATTTAGAAGATGGGTTGACAATATCAATATACAATATTACTCACCTGAACAAATTTGTTGAATGTGATCAAATCTATATCCAGGAGGACAGCTTTCCACTGGAGTCCTGACACATATGTACGAACCAATAGTATTTTGACAGGCACTGCTTGTTCCACAGTTGGCCACATTAAGTGCACATTCGTCAATATCTAACAAACATACATAAATCACATTAACTAACTCCCTTTATAGAATTATGACTGATTACTTAACCTTAATTAATGTGGGTAAGCTCCATTTGTATTATGGAACCCACAGATTCATCACTGTTATCACAGAAGCTAATCACCAGAATATGCATTAAGTCAGTTTAATCTTCAACATACAGGAACATGCCTGAATGATCAGAGTGTCAACCAGAAATGAATGCAGGAATTTAACAGGTAATGGAATTATAAAAGTATTGAGAACATGTATATTTCAATGGCTTGGGCTGGATTGAGGTTAAGGCTCCCTTGTACTAATTTCCAAAAAATTCCAATGGAATTTTGGTTGTCTATTTGCCTACTGCAGGATGATAGAATGGAACACAGCTATTTATGCACAGATATATAGGCAGCTTTGCAGATCCTTCAGATATCAAGAGTGTATTATGGTAAATTTTTACTTACCATCACATACTTGGGACTGCATACTAAATTTGTATCCTAATGGACACTTTCCAGCACCAAAGTCATTTTCTAGTTCTCTGTCTGTAATACAAAACCACACGATTTTACACAAGGTTAAAACCATTCCTAATAATGACCAATATCCAATATATATTATGTCCAATATCAATTGTATACTAAGCCAATGGAGGGAAAAAATGAATTACCTCCAAGTTATCGAAAAAGCAATTTATAACAAGTTTTTGTATAAGCAACTTTAAAAAAAATGCATTTGATTCATAAAATTATAATTTATTCAAATATATTACATCCTATATGGAGAAATATATAATACAAATAAAAGTAATGTGCTTCTGAAATTTAAATCACAGATCTAGAGACGCAGGTGCTACATGCCTAATCTTACATTAAATCCTAGAAAAGGTTTACTCTCAAGGCAACAGATGGAAGGGGCATGAAGTCAGGGTTCAGATTAAGATTCCTACATAGATAAATAATAGCTATATGACAGTGCACTTACCAGTTTCACGAGGAAGTGGTTTTGCGACTGAACCGTCTGGGTTTATACATAAATAGCTGCCAGGTTCATTACGACAAGCTTGATCTTCAGAATCACATGAATAAATTCCCAGAGCACATTCATTAACATCTGTAAACCAAATTCTCATTAAACAACAATGGTCAGTGTTTTAAATTGGCATATGCATCTAAATTAATACCGCATTGCTTCCAGAAACAAATTATTTAGTTGTGCTATACATATAATGATTTAGTAAATTATATAAATTTTAATCGTGAAGCACGAGATAGCATGCTTCTTAAAAGTGATGGTATTCTGCTAGAAGGCCACATTACGCAACATTCCGTAAGACCATAATCTAAACACAGAGCAATTTACACTTTTATATCACAGTATGTTTAATAATTTTGCTGTCTTACTGTCAACGTGAGTACAATTGATCCCGGACAGTGTGACACACAACTTACCATTACAGTTTCTTTCATCGCTGGCCAACTTATAACCCGGATGACAGGAGCACTCAATTGCAATTCCAGTATCCAAACACTTGTGAGCACAGGGATTGTTAATCTTGCACCTACCAAAAGAATGACATCAAGTTCTTTTGTTCATACTTTGACACAATCAAAATCTGATGATGAAGTCAGCAATGACCTCTGAAACGCCGGCAGACTTCCACCAGATACTCGGCGCTACAGCCATCTTCGGACTCGCGGTTATGAAACCGTCAGATGCTACTAAAATTGAAATTAATAATTCTACAATTTACACAGTAAATTAAGATTGCGTACATATGGCACCTGACTCTTTAACGCCACTAACAATAAAGCTAAGACCAGCTAATTCTCTGAGTCCCATCTTATCCTAGCTACATGCACAACCCATTATAGCCTATTAAGTTTAACTAACCTCAAAGAACCAGGTGACCTGGTTCTTCAAGGCTTGTGTTAATGGTTAATGAATTTTAGGTATAAATGGTACCTGTCTGGTAAATCATCATGTTGACATGACTTTCCATCTGCCATCAATGTAAATCCTTCGCGACATTCACAGCGGAAAGAGCCTGGGACTGGGACGCAAATGTGAGCGCAAAGCTCACCCGGAAGTAGCTCGCACAGGCTGTCCAGGGCTGAAAATGAAATGTACCATCTTTATGAGCAGCTTTGGTGGAACTACAATTCCATTTACACATGCACAATCCTTTAAAGAATTGCCACTGCGGAAAGAAGAGGGCCACTTCCTTTCCGCCAGTGATCAGTCACAAGTTATTGCGTCCAGTCAGCTGTTATCATTCCTGAACTTTGTCCAACAATGTTAAGTTACGTCATCATGATAAAAGCTTATAATAAATGTGTTCATGCATTTTACTTGCAGAATTTTGATTCAACTTGAAACAGAAAATTGTAAGTTTTAAAGTTGTACAAAAGCTGAAATGAAAGAATGTCTGATGCTAACAGAAAAATGCATCAACCAAAAACTGCATGAGACATTCGAACAAGACTCGTTCGATGAAATCACTCGGCTGTTTGTCCCACGAGACCGATGTCTTTAAAGCACCCATTCCTCAGACGATAAAATCAATTCAGTTTCATCTACTCAGACTTCTAGTCTTCAAACTGTAGATACAGTTTCAAGAATTACATTTTTTTTTTTTGGAGTATTAAAAATGGTATAGCTGACCTTCGTCTGAGTGAATACATAAATCGTGGCACACAAACCATATTTTATTCACCAGATTGCATTATACGACCAGAAAATTTGCTGTCAGTGCCAGAAGAATTACAGTGCCCAATATTCTTTCCTCGTTGAATTAATTCAATGCTGTATGCAAATAATATTTGAAAAATGGAATGAAAACTTCCACATGTCACAAAAGGTGAACGCCTTCAATGATATGTCTCACCTGGTGTCGGAATGACAGTGGTCTTATTCTCCGGATTACCAGCAGTCGCAGAGGCGGAGGTGGTCGTCGGTAAAGAGGTCGAAGGCTGTGTTTCCAGACAGCAGGCGTGGTACGCTTTGTCCCATGGCGGCTCAAACTCAAAACTTTCAAAAACACATTCCATTCCCATGGAACCAGACATAAGTCCCAGTTTGCAAGCTTCACAGCAGTCCTGAAAGTCACAAGAATCCTTTGCTGTTCCAACCCTTACATCTGCTAGAAGTTTTAGGGTTCACGTCCTGTTGCATGTCGATCGTCAAGTTTCTCAGACAAAATAAAGATTTTTTTTCAAAAAGTGTATAAAATAAAATAAGATAAATGTCTTAATAATTCGTGTTAATAAGAATATGCCAGCTGTTGCATAATGTCGAATAATAAGGAAATACTTTTACTTAATATTTTACACATTTAACACAAGACTGCCAGCGGTTTTGTCATTATTTTACCTGATGACGGAGATAAATACAGTCCCCGAAACATCGTGTTATGAGAAGCAACAGACGATAGATAATGTCCAAAATTTTAGCCAAAAATATGAGTTTTACACTTGCCTTGCGGTATTCCCCGCCTGTGATAGACGCCGTTTGGCAGCTGGAGTCAGATCTTGCATCCTCCTTCCCGATCTCGCATTGCTTCTCCCTTGAATCAGATAAAATCCACTGTAAATGGTAAAATTTTAATCCTCTCAAGATTTATATCAGGGGTCGACAAAATTTTCATTTCAGGGGGCCTCACTTGCTGTACATATATTTGTCCAGCGAAGCAGAACATTTTAATGCCGTGGAGAGTAAGCAAAGCTCTGTTTCTTTAACAAAAACTTCTGTAGCTGGCATTCACCTCAAAATGTGTACCATGAAAACTTTTAAGGACCATATTTGAACATGTAAGTTCCAGCTATGATGACATTTCTTGGTTGGCTCGCTCGCCTGTAGTGCGATTACTTTTTATGGGCAACTTAAAAGCAAAGTAAAGTGTAATATTATTTTCGGATAATAACTAACTAACTAACTAACTAGATGGCTTACCGAACCCGAAGGTTCATCATCGAACTAACCAAAGCCCTCAACCGGACCCTGTCCTGGGCCAACAAAATCCAGTCACCTTCAACTCCTATCTCCCATAGATCCCGCCTGAGATTATCCTCCCATCTACGTCTAGGTCTCCCCAGAGGTCTCTTCCCCTCAGGTTTCCCAACCACCTCTTGTCCCATCCATGCGTGCTACATGCCCCGCCCATCTCATTCTTCTCGACGTAATCAATTTTCGGATAATAACTTTCTCAAAATATTTCGTCAACTTAAATGAGGGCATATGCCCCTTGATGGCAAGGATAGGAAAACACGAGGTACTTTACAAATCGCGTTACGGAAAGATGTAGAATTTTACAAAAAGTAAATTTTTGAAATGTAAGGCCCTACAACACATTCGACGAGCAATCCTTCGTGTGGAGATGTTACGACATCGCAGAAAAGGTTTCTATTCAGGGGATGAATAAGTCTCGATAGTCATTTTTTCACAAGTTTTCGCTTTCAAAAAGGCTTTAGCAGATAATTATGATCTGTCGTATGGGCTGAGTGTCTCGTGTGTTCATCGTAGAAAACTTTCAGAGCGTGCTACATGCCCCGATCGGGCGTCTGGCGCGATCAACAGACTTCTTGTTGAAACCGAATGATCTGCTGTCTCCGAGGTGGAACGCCAACACAAGCTTCCAGTTGGGCTAGTTCTTGCGTTATGTTTCGATGACGCTTTATTTGAGATGTCTGCTCATTGCGTCAGCTGCAGAGATAATTATGCAAACGTTTTCAACCGGACAGAGCCATAAATAATGTTGATGACTGCCCCTCAAGCTCCTTCACGATCCTCATTAATGCGTTTTGTATCGGTAACAAAAACAATTTTTAGTTCTGGCAAACTGAAATGTCAAGTACGTGGTTTAGAAGCCAGCAACTGCTGAATTGTGACTCTTGTAGGATTCGTAAACCACACAGTAGTGATGAAAGATTACTGCTGCAGAGTTTGCAAGTTGTTTGGGATTTCCTTGGTGATTGAGCGTCACTCCACTGATGCTCTGGCCTCATTTAAAATGCCCCTGACCTCTGCAATAGGCCGGACCAATAAGATATTACGACATCAGATGGGTCTTCCTTTGTGACCTAGAACTTTGCTGAACTCAGAACGAGGAAGTGTTGTTTGGGTTTTTAGTCGGACTAAACTCAGAGAAAAGGAGAAAAACATGGCGCGAGCACTGTAAAGTACGATTCCAGTGATCGCTGTGAAATATCTCGAGTTTCATAGAAGGAGGAAGATTTATTGATTAGTTGGGGAAATTTTATTTTCCCCATAAGCACATAATCAACAGAGTTAATTTTAATTACTGCATTCATTACGTAAGTAAGTACTTCGTTCTGGGGAGCAGAGTGGAATTTTTTTTGGCTAAAATTAAAGAAACAGGAACACATTCTTTTGTCGAAACGTCCAGAGATTGGATTATTTTTCTGTATTTCTGATATGAGAGCACTTATAATGTTTACTTTTATCTATGGTTCAGATAATAAATTCCATTTCTTCAAGTTTCGAATTTCAAGTCACGTTCTAATTCTATTTTATAATATACCCAGGACTTGTTAATTTGGCAATGGAAGGAACAGTTGAAGGGGAGAATTGTAGGGGAGACAAAGATTGGGACGCAGATTTTTGAGGATGTGGGCTCTAAAAATTATGTGGAAATGAAGAGATTGGCGAAAATGGAGGACCACGTCAAACCTGTCGAAAGACTGATGACGGAGAAACACACAAACAATATTTGGTTTGAGGGATTTTATTACGTATTCCCTTAATTATGTAAATAAAGATGAAAACTTTATACAGCAAAGAGTGCAAGTAGGAAGCGTCAGAAATTAAGACTGCTGAAGGCTGACGAAAAGGAAATTAGAGAGACGAAGACGGTGCCATCTTTAAAAGAACCCGCGCGTTCATACGTTACTATAATTAATCTTTGCATCCAATCCAATTACTTTTTTATAATTTACTGATCAAATCTGATATTACATGTTATTAAGTCGCTTTTCCCCACCCAAAAGAAGATTGACCCGTGTCTGAATTTTGCGCTCCGCCATCGATAAGGAATGTTGAGGTCGATCACCTCTTAGGGTCTTCAGGCACCAATAATTTGTTGCAGAGGGCAATGACCCTTTGGTACCTTTCGAGGACTCAGTATTATCCTCGACTGATTTAGGCTGTGTCTACAGCAACAAAACTTTCATCTTAAAATGGCTGTCATCTGGATTGTTACGATGAGTAAGGTTACTCATCCTTCTGATGAAGGAGGCAGTATGAACTCCGAAACGTTGGTAAACATCTACCAGATTACACGGCGCAAGAACCCAGAAGACAGAAATCTTCATACTCTGATGACGGAGGCAGTATGACCTCCGAAACGTTGGTAAACATCGACCAGACTACACGGCGCAAGAACCCAGAAGACAGAAATCTTCATACTCTGATGACGGAGGCAGTATGACCTCCGAAACGTTGGTAAACATCGACCAGACTACACGGCGCAAGAACCCAGAAGACAGAAATCTTCATACTCTGATGACGGAGGCAGTATGACCTCTGAAACGTTGGTAAACATCGACCAGACTACACAGCGCAACAACCCAGAAGACAGAAATCTTCATACCTTACAAATGTAGCATGATAATATAACGCCATACAAATAATGTATAATCCCATATAATTTGAGATTAAACTGGCTTAAGAATGAAATACCGAAATTAATATATGCCAAAGAGAAAGTTGGATGTATGTGTCTGAATATTTTGCAAATTCTGTCATTTAAATAAAGAATAACATAAATACGATCAATATTACTTTCAAACAAACTTCGAGACATTTTCCACTGTCACGTAAATTTCTTGCAAAAAAAAAAGAAAGTATTTGACGAAATTGGTAAATGGACACTGAGCGTAGGAAAACAGAAATATTTGTCACTCAAGAGGAATATTCTCCATTCCACTGAACCAGGCGCACAGACGCTCAAAACAACCTTGACAACAGCGGCGTAAAACATCAGCGAAGGAAAATATATTTAAGTACTTTTACTCACCTGTGTTTCCGAAGGCAACATATTTCAACTGCAGTCAAACACACGCTTTGCTGTTCCGGCTGAATTCCCGTAACTGGAGCTGGGAAATTGTTGCATTTCAAACCTTCCGATGCCCAATTTGAGCCCAACGAACAGCATCGCTTGAACGTCGGTTCCAAAGCACCTTAAATGTTATGTACGTATATATTTCTAAGATAGTATTGATGCGTCATATTGTAATATAGAAATATATATAATAATTATTATATTTGTTTACCGTCAAATCACAATAAAAAGTAAGGTAAGATAATTAAAATTATTAAAATATCATCTTACGTTCCATATCGAGCATTCGATGTAAATCGAATGCTCGATATGGAACGTAAGATGATATTTTAATAATTTTAATTATCTTACCTTACTTTTTATTGTGATTTGACGGTAAACAAATATAATAATTATTATATATATTTCTATATTACACACATACGGCGTAAATATACAGATAAATTAGGAGAAAATTAGTTTGAGGATTGCTTGCTGTGTTCTGATCCTTACTAAAATTGTGGGGTTTAATCTCCCGGGTTTCTCACCCAGAGGGTAGAACATACATCTTGAGTGTTTAATAAGAGGTCGTTTGTGTCTTTACGAGAGGAAGTGGCTAACGTCGGACAACAGAAGATATTTTAAGTGATCGCACCGAGGAAGTTTTTGGATTCCTAAGCTGTTTCGCGTCTGGTAATGGACGGACAAACGAACCAAAGTTTACTCGAATTTCTTTATAGACTGATCTACGAGCTCAAAAACTTCATGTCCGACAAAGACTGGGAATTCCAGGTTCATTTATCTTTCACGGAAGAATATGGTACTTACGCAGAGGACAGCAGAAATAGAGCCTTGAGTTGTGGAGATCACATCGTCTAAGAAACTAGTCGCATTTGCGTGGATCTGGCACGAGGCAATGTGCCAGAGATCGGCTCGCTGCTTCCAAGGCACCACCAACTTCGTACCCGAGCGTTTTTCTCACACACAAACGAAAAGACGTAAATTTTATAGTGCAATGTGGCAGGCATTGAAACACTCACGATGTTAATAGCGTCGTTAGTGACTGGCTGGTTGCCTAACTTGTTACTGACGGGCAACCCCTCGTATTATTATTATTATTTAGTGTTCTGTCTGAGGACAGGTCCATATGAACAGGATCCTTCCATCCTTTTCTCTTCTCGGACTGGGACCTGTTCATATACGTTCTTGGCAGATGATCCAGAAGTGGTTTGCCATTGCCTTCTTCTGTGTGTGAATGGAGTAATTGTTGGGATGCCACGGAGGAAAACTCCGTGTTGCCTAGACCACGGCCTTGCCCAACACAAGTTATAAATTCGAACCCGAGACCCCAGGATTACAAGGCCAGCGTCGTTCTAACCGCTAGACCACCGTGGCGTAGAAACCCCATGTAAGATGCAGGAAATGTCACTAGAAGCTGATAGTAGTTGAGATGGTCAATAAATTCTCACCCCCTCCGAACGCTTTCAGCACCAAAAGAGAGTGAAATATGGCAAATCCACGTACAGATTGTTCATCGCTTATGATGATATATTAGATTGTGTGAGACGTATTCTATATAAACAAGATTTTGGTACTTGGTTCTAATCCTATTTTAAGGTGAGAATTTGTCTTTATACAAACACTCTTCATACCCCCAGAAATTCTAAGCAGTTTACTGGTGAGTGCATGAAGAAATACTCCGAGCGATTTATTTAAATTTTTGCGTAACTCAACTGGCTCCATGTCCGTATCTTGCAGATACAAATATATTGTTGCAAAGCTACCAGCGCAAAACACTGTCCGGAGAAACGGCTTATCTGTAAGTTCAATTAAACATGTATGACGTTAAAGCAAATCTTCAGAACCTAATGACACAAGCTAAGCCTGAATGATGACGAATTGGACGAAGTTCGATTCGAGCTTCATGGAAAGTTCATTATTTTTCCTTCTACTTCGTGGAATATGCATTACATATAAAATTTCCACAATTTTCACACGAATGATATCGTAAATATTATAAATATCATTTAATATTACAAACAATAAATTATAAAGAGTAAATTTTAATTAAAAAAATATTTTTACAAAGGCGTAAACTGGCTAGAAATTTTATTCTGTGGTCCCGCCTCACGAATGCGTTCATACATGTTCAGCAGCGAAATAAATGAGTATGAACATCGAATTACATAACCTAACTTCCCCTCGAAATAAACAGAGTGACCTCTATTACGTAGCTCAGTTCGAGGTACACGAGATTATGACGAAGTTATTGATAAGCATCTGTGAAAAGTCTGTCGATCTAGTCCAGGGGCAGGCAATAATAGTAACTGAGGCTTTTTCTAAAGTTCTTCAGTCCATTAAATTCAGTCCTGTGCGTTAACCTCAAATATATCAGAGATTTTTCTTTCGAGTCCTTGCATTAACCTCAAATATATCAGAGATTTTTCTTTCGAGTCCTTGCATTAACCTCAAATATATCAGAGATTTTTCTTTCGAGTCCTTGCATTAACCTCAAATATATCAGAGATTTTTCTTTCGAGTCCTTGCATTAACCTCAAATATATCAGAGATTTTCTTTCGAGTCCTTGCATTGTGATTAAATGCTCACAATCAAGTTTCTGTCTCGATATAAAAATTAAAAGAAAATAATAATTAAACTGTTTTTGAAACCACTTCCATCAGCATTTAACACACAATTCGTATAGAAACACACTTTTCAATATTATAGTATTTAACACACAATTCGTATAGAAACACGCTTTTCAATATCATAGCGAACCACATCCAAACACACAACAATGGACGGAAATTTGAAAGATTTCAGACACATTTGCATTGTTGTCCTAATAATTTCGGTGGCAATTGTTGTAAGCGCTTTGTGGTGAGTCATGCAATTCTTGCCGGGAGCTGAGAAGTGACAGTTGCTTTCCAGTTTTTTCAGCAAATGAAATGAAATGAAACACATCTTCGTCTAATTCAGTTCTCTCTCCTTACATCTATCTTCAGATCTACCTTGATACCTTTATTCTACCATTTACATCTAATTGTGGCGGGTAATTTCTAACATTCAAAAGAAAATTATCTGTGTTTTAATTATTGTATTTGTGGTTGTTATTTATACCGGCGAGATATTTGATAAAAATACGTTTTCCACTTTCTGATTTCAAACATTTTAAACGTGTTTTAATGTGTTTCGTATAAACACGAAATAGGACGCTCTTAAGAATGTAGCAACAGTTTCGTCACATTAAATGAAGGCTAATTTAAAATTGTAGTTATAAATTCCTTCTCGAACCTTTGTCTGAATGTTTGGTAAAGCAAATTTTACAACAAAATATAACATGACAAGACGACAATTACAAAGCAAACTTTTGTACACTACCCTGACCTTTATTATTTGGTCTTGTGATGACACAGTATTCCGTACTGAAGGCTGATCGCCCTAGAAGACCTCGAGAAAAGCTTCAAATCAAATAGTACTCCTAAGTACCGTCACTTTGTATCACAAACAAAAACACGTGCAGCGAGACCAGACAACGTTCACTGGCCACACGAATCCACCACCACAATCGATACAATTAAGATTACAGCAATAAACAAATGTGCCATTTCCTGTTCCACAAAATAACCTCGATCAGTGTTCAGAATTAAGACTTACATTTGCACATTTGGAGAAGAAACCACAGTATCACGCACGAGCGAAACCACCGACTCCATCTGACGATGAGAAACATCTTACTCCGCCAGTCTCGTGATGTACACTGATTGGTGGAACTGGCTTCTGCGTCGGATGCAAACAGCCGAGGATCGTCACGCTCGCAGATCAGGACTGATTGCCTCCCTTGTTTCTCCAACAGCCCACGAAGATTTAAAGTAAATAAATATGACTTTCTTCCAAGCGATAACAACACACAAACTCCACAGCCGAATGGTTAGCTCCGAATTATGGAGGACCCGCGTTCGGATACCGGACCGGAGACCCATTAACCTGAGTCTTTAAAGAAACCACGAACTAAAACACTAACATCCTCTTGAAATTATTAATATTATTATATTAATATATATTATTATAGTATTTGAAATATGTTTGTATAATTATGGATATTTTGCAATAACTTATACAACAATAAATAAACAACTACTTTTATAACACTTCTAATCATAATTTTTTTAAAATGTATGTCAAACTTAAAACTAATGTTTTTAATATGTGTCCTGCCGTAAACATTTTCCTATTTAATACATTTATTTGGATCTGTAGAAGAAAAATGTTGACGACACAATAAATCTCCTTATGACAAATTGTCACGATAATTAATTTTTGGCTTTACACATCGCCCTCATTTGTTTGTGGCAACAATATCTGCTATTTTTTAATAAATTGGCAAGCCTGGCTATCATAAAAATGCTAACTTAACAGGAAGCTGTCATATGCACATAATGTGACAGTCTTCAGGAAACAAAGCAGTTCTGTACAGAACGTTAACATAACCTAACCTAACATAACTTAACCTAACCTAACCTAACCTAAACGCTCCTTTCATGTACTTCTACAGAAAATAAGAATATACATTCAACTGTTTTTATTGATCATTTGTACTACATTTGTTTACACGGAACATCCATACAAACACACGGAAGCAAACGTTCAACTTTTAGGACACCAACAGGGTCGCACATTTTACAGAACAGCAAGAGAACTCACACAGGAGAAAAAGAAAACGTTCATCCATGCATCAAGGAACAAAATGAATATTCTTACACATCTTTAACAAAATATTAGAGTCCAATTCAGAAGTATTCAGTATCATACGATGTCAGCACAACTCAAATTCATTCAAATTCTTCCTTTGAAAATAAAAATTAGTAGGCCTACACTGAATGAAGTCAGAAATAATGAACATCTCCAAGAGCACAGGCAGCAACTATAAGCTGCTCGGGAACCTTTTTCAGTTTATTACGACGAATTCTTCTTTGCATTTACACAGATTAAATGAGTGTCTTGGAAATTAGAACCTTTAACTGTGTTTGCCTCATGTACAAGACACGCGATCAACAGAACAATAAGTCAGTTTTTTGCATATCCAAATTATTATGAATCTACTCACGCCATCTTAACTCCATTTAAACACAGAGAAAGTAAGGGACGTGTTAAAAAATAATCCATTAAGAAAAAACAGTAATTACAACATATTATTTTAGATATATAAACTTATAAAATGTTTCTAATTTCCATCAAGATGGACATTTTTATTTCCAGAAGAAATGTCAGATTATAGAATATGACTAGTTGAAGATCTGAAAAGGATTTCAATGAAAGCTCTTCAATGCAACAACATGGGAGAAGATATCGTGGGTGACCAAGAGATTAGAGTCGTTCGGAAGTGGCAAAGATGAAGGTAACGTACAACATAAACATTTAAATATAATGAACAGCACTAATCTTATCATAGTTTAACCAATTATATTTTTTTATGAATTTGTCTCTAAAAATATAATTTGACTTTGAGTATTTAAGTTTGTTTTCTTGAGCAATGAGCTTCAAAGGATTTTTATAATAAAATTTCTACAAACTCAAAACTTCTAAACACAAGAGGTTCGAAGTTCATAATATTTTAATATTAACTTTAAAAATATAATTCCATGTAATATATTATTTTGCATAATCTATCCATGAAATGAAAGAAGACAGTACGTAATATGCAACAGATTCAAATAATGATATAGTACCTACATAATTATAAAATATTTGGCATCTTATTATTTATACATTTCAAATACTCTATGCGCCATTTTCAGCATATACAAAAACTAACACACACAATTTAACTTAAAACTGTGATGTGAAATTTCTTTATATTCAACAAGTGACTATTTATTTGCATTTATCTTTGATATATCAACACAAAAAATTTTCCACAAATTATGTGTTATTAATTAATTTCCCTGAAAAAATATAACTTAACTGTAATGCATAGGATCTGTCATTAAGTCTACCAGCATTTCGTAGTCATCACATAGAAATGGCATCAGGAGAGAATTAATCATAGTCAAATTGGGCTTGAGACTTACGAAAGGCAGAAACATCTGTTACTTTGATATGCGTGCCACATGTTGACAGTTTTATACCAAACACCTACTACGTTCTGTATCTCCTAAATTGGGTTCTATTTGTACAAATACTATGATATGCCTCTCCTTTCATTATCTGGTACAAAATTAGCACCGTGCGCACCACGACAACACCGGCTAGGAAGTTCGGAGAGTATTTCAAAAAGCAACTTACTTATCACAAGTGGGAAGACTACAAAATGGATGGACAGTAGACTCGTAACTGCCTGTGAGTGGGATGTCTAATATGACAATAGTTTAATTATCAAAGAATGAATATTTGCATAGCCGCCTCCTCATCTTCTTACGTGTTTTAAAATTTTAATATTAAGATCTGTGAACTGTGGCCCCACCGAGAAGTTTTGCCAAACTTTTTGAAATATTCTTCCTTATACTCTGTATTAATCATTATTTTCTAAAGTGATAAATATGTCACGACTTCGAATACCAAATAAAATAAAGATTAGTTTCTTTTGTGAGACAGTTCGTTAATTACCGAAGCTATTCAAATGCCATACTCGCTGTGTCATGGTATGTTCACTTACCGAACTGGTACAAATGGGCCGTATTTCTTAAAAACTGCTACAACAACTGTTTTACATTCATTATTCCATAACAGTCTGCGAGCTGCCGTGATCGACACCCACTAGTCCGACTGGCTAAGTTACTAAAAATATCACCTTCCATAAAACAGAACAGTTTTGCCAAAACTTAGTTAAATGGACTCAACGTGTTTTGGAACCACCGTCTTCAAATTTTCTGACCTTGGATTATCCACAGAACTGAGTTATCTACGAGAGTTTTCTCCCGTCACAGTCATTAATCGCGAGTCTACTGTATTTGGAGAGAAAGGAACTATTAATCGTGGATGACAATGCTTTTGTACTGTTTTTGCATAGGCCAGTTTTGTTGGTCCTAAATTTAATAGTCGTATAAGCAAACAGATTCTGGTATTTAACCAAACAATTTGAAAAAATATGCCAGTTTACTTAGCTCTGCGGAATAAACAGCAAGGAAAAATATGCCAGTTTACTTAGCGCTGCGGAATAAACAGCAATAACTCTTGAAAGCAAAACATTTATACGAGTGATGCCAAATTCTTTGTAATTGTGTGAATTAAATTCCACTGAACTTACAGAACATGTAATTATAACATTTAGAATCAAAGTAACATGGCTGATTTTTAGCTCTGTTACTAGAAATTTCAGCGGCAAGACTAAAGCATCGTATTTTTTCTCTTACCCAAATATTGACTGTGTGTCATTCCTTTGTTAGCGGACACATCTAATAGGAAAAGGCCAAACTGAGCAATATCATTTTACTACCACTCTAGGAACTATTTTCTTGTGTTCGTATCTGAAGATACGGTGAAAAAGTTGATTCTGACGTGTGGGTTGTAATTAAAGTGGGCAACAGTAATGAAGAAATTTCCTTAACTCTGACTGAATATGAACTTCAACAGCTCAGGTCCTGAATGTCTTTCAACAGACCTCATAAATTAACATTTCTTTTACTCAAAATTACCTCCAGAATCACTCCCACATGTGGGACAGCCCATTGGCTCGGGGCAGGCTACACCTTTCACTTCCCGGCCTATAAATCCAGCTCCTCACACCCTATTGGCATATTCATCGCCCTGATGACGGAGGCAGTATGACCTCTGAAACGTTGGTTAACATCGACCAGACTACACAGCGCAACAACCCAGAAGACAGAAATCTTCATATTCACCGCTGTGAGAACCTCAAGTCTTACGTACTTAGTAATTATTGCACAATTTTATCTACCAAGATTTAATTAAATTTTAAATAATTCAACATGATCAAAATATAAGAAACTGGACAAAATTAAAGATGGTAACACCAAGTCCCATACAAAGTTTGCAACAGAAGTAGAAAATTATGTAAAAAGCATGATTTTTGGGAGATCAAGTTCAAAAATGTGTATCTCAGCTTTTGAAAATGGCGACTGACCCGTCACGTTGACATATTTTTAAACTGTGTCAATAAGTATGAACTTAGAACTGGAAAGTTAACTTGAACTTTGACATTCTACTGAATTGAATTTTTATGGCGGACAAAGGACAATGAAAATAGAATTGTACCCCTGGCCTGTTGCACGAGGCAGTTAGTTATGAAAGCTGCAACAACTATTGATCGTTACAGAAAATAAGTCAACAGCAGACGTTTCGGCACGACACACCATTTCGCTTCTCTTGATATATTTAAAAAAAAACACACTGAAATGTGTTTCTGCGTCGAAGTATCAGACAGTATAAAAGAAATTGGTCTGAGTCTGGTATTTAACAGACCCAAGATTTTAGATGCAGCCTTCATTTAACTAAATACCTGAGAGCACTTTCTCAAAACCTCAGCCTCATTTTAACATATCAACAGTAAAATCATCATTATCTTTCTCTGAATAATTGCCATGTTTCTTTTTTAACAACTCACAAGGTTAATTATGTCAATAAACATAACACATATACGCTAAGCTAGAAATTTACCAACATTCCTCTTCGCTCAATTTAAAACTAAGCACCAGTAATCGTAACAGGTCACACGTAACATAAAAGTTATCCACTGGCTTCTAATATATTTTGAATACGTCCACAATTCTCACATTATTCCAAATTCCATATTAGGTTACAGGTTAAAAAATATGCAGACAAGCAACAAATTTAAAGTTCTGGCTAGCCGTCATTATGCGACTCCTCGGCTCGTCGCGGGAGATCACGACACTCGACACGTAGACTCGAGACACTGAAAATGGAGTTGATGGAGGAAACACAGCAAATGGCCAATGTCACTTCCCTAGGCCTAAGTCTTCAACAGTTAACGCGGATGCCTAGTTTCAGTCATTCACGCAATAAAAATAGACACGCATCTCTTGTCACATTCACTCTGCACTCCTTCCTTTATAAAACACACATTAATTAAGTAAAACTTCATACTATGAAACAATTCGTTATCCGTTATCTTAAAATGTAATCTAGAATCTTTTAATTTTGTAAAAATTGTGACTAGTTTCCACCTTTGGGCATCCTGACCCACTCTGTTCACTCCATGGCTCCTTTGTCTTCAGTCTTTGAGAGTCGCGTACTTCAAAAAAGGAATGAACTGCGGCAGAAGTGATTGCTGTTTCTCGGCTTGAAACTCGATTAAAGCGTGGAATGTAATTGGCAGGCAACAGAGGAGAGAACAATTAAAACTGAATAACTCATTGATCCGACGCACGTTTAACCCTTCAGCACCATCTGACACGCCTCTCACTTCGTCACCTTCTGGGGTACAGCTCTAACTTCTCTCTGGCCTTTCGTAACAACATTTTATATTTACAGTAGTTCCGAGAGGACATTATTTCAAGTGTGGAAAATGATATTTATAAATCGCCACACTATTTACATTATAATACATATTTTACAGCCACTGACATTCTCTATTCAAAAGAGATTTCTCTAAGTAAATACGTGTACAGTGATATGTATTAATGTTATCACTTGTTAAGTACATTCCAGCAGGATGTACATCGCCGTGGCCTACTGTAGAGTCACTCTATCACAGCGACGACAATGTATTCTGTTATATTTTCCAGCCGTAATTTATTGATAATTATTATGAAGTTATTTTACCAAAAAATTGTCAGTTTTGGGTCGTGTAGTCGTGACATTGTCATAAATTCAAAGTTTTGCTGGCAGCATCTGAATGTAAGCCAGAAGGAATGCGAAGATGATGAATTTTTTTTTAAATTTTACACCATATTTAATTTTCTACAACAATTTTATGATCAATGCACAGACATAAAATGTAACTTTTTTAAGATGTTTCAATGTATACTTAATTTTAATTTTAACATTAATTTTTAAAATTTTTGGGCTATTATTATTATTATTATTATTATTGTTATCCAAGTGACCACTTAAATTCACAAGGACATTATGCCGTATAGTTTAAGTTTTATTTATTTAGTCAATGGATCATTTATTACAGTCCCCTATAGCATTCTGAATATAATATGAAAATTTGGAAAAAAAAAAACAAATTTTAATAACTGAATCTCTGCTTGGAGTGATTTATGTAAAATGATACACTTTACTCTTTCAAAATTTAAATTTCCTTTATCGCCATGTCCTTTGGCAGAGAAGGGTTAAGGATATTAATCTAAAAATACATTTTTATAACTTAAACTTTGATAATAAATTAATTCCCAGAAATATAACAATACATTTTACAAAGTCCTTATTTATTTCCGAGGCCCCTAATAAAATGACATCTAATTTTTCATTTGATTTCAGTACTATATTATTTTCTCCTTGACCATACTTTCCAATAAATTCTAGAATATATATTTGTTACTTTTACTCACCATCAAATTTTTAAAAAATATTTTTAACGTAAATTTTAAAATTGGATCTCAGTTCCTGTACAAACTTCAATAACCTAGGGGTCAATATGTTAACGGCTTAAAATACATATAACTTTCACGACCCCCCATTTTGATTTATAAAATACCCTACAATATAAGTAACGTATAATACAAACTATGAATTAACAATAAAGACAAACAACAATATTTATAGGTGTCTACTAATGTGGCACTTACGACACTCTCCACCTTCAACAAATATTTCACTGTTCATAACAAACTCCTTTAACCTTTACCCTCTAACATACAATTTATGAGAATATTATCCTAAGAAATGTACAATGAGATCCACACACGTGCACGTATCATCAGAGAAATTTCAAAAATCTCCGATACACAACGCAGTTTACCGCCTAAGTAGTTAAAATATTAAAGAAGGTGGAATAATTAATTACAATTCATTACCATCGGCACTTATTAACTGAATTTTTTTGTTGGCATATGATTTTCGGCTCGTATGCCATAAATATTCTTTGCTCAATGATCGTGGCCGTGGTCCCTCTGTCTGCAACGCTTCTTCGTTAAATGGAAGGTCTCAAAAGAATTAAATCATATTAAAGTAATACTGCAAGAAACATTTATGAAGTTCCGCGTTTTAAAAACTCTCGTAATATTTATAAATTATATACGTAAACTTGCCAAAGAACATCACAGCAATCACAACTGGGCTTTTCATTTGAATAACATAATTTTGTAATTTGGCAGTTGATATTCGGTTACATTCAACTCTCTTATCTTCCAGGACGCAGCTACAATACAAAAATTACAGAACCTCTTCGCAGCGAACCCTCTTGGCGTGACGACGAAGGTGAAAGGGACGACGATGTGCCGATAGCCGTACGGCTCGCGGTTCCATCTCTAGCGAACAGCTTTCAGACTGAAGGCTGCCATTACTGCTGCTGTCTCCATTACAGCCTTCTGACGAGGAATAACTTTTTGTGCTGGAGCTCCGGCGAGAAGTGGAGCTGGGATGATCCACACAATGTACTTCCAAGATATCCCTATTGGTTCCTCCACAGTACAGTCTACTTTCTGTGATGAAGCCACCTCCTACTCCTGACTGCTGGATGCTTGATTTCTCATACATCAGATTTGGCGGAGAAAATGCGCTGTTAGCGTGCGCCATCTCACTCTTAATGGCAACGTACGGGGCTGGTACCTTGCCACCGTGGTCATCTAGTTTTGGTACCAATACAGAGATGTCACTGTCACTCCTGGCCAGCACGTTCTTATGGAATCCATCCATTGTTTCGTCATTGGGTTCAGGATAAAGGTTATCGGGTGTTGAGACGGTAAGTCGCTGATCGTGGTGACAGACATCAAGCTGTAACGGAGGTGGAATAGTACCAGAAACCGCTTGCTTGGGTTCTTGTCGAGGGCTTTCAGGGGACTGTTCTGCAGTGCACGTTCCAGACATGTACCCCTGGTCAGAATGGCTGTGGCTTGTTGCGTGACTTTCTCCTGTTGCTGCTGTTGCTGTTGCCTTTGATTCTGAAATGCCATCTGGGGGAGCTCTCATGAACTGCCACGAAGTGTCTTCTCCTTCCTTTGTAGTGAGCGAGTGCTGGCTGCCACACGTTTGATTACACCTCATGCTGCCACCTCTCTTCAAGTCCCCGAATCCTCTGTCGACTTCGGAAGCTCGACACGCTTCAGAGCTACAACATACAGACTGGATGTGCATGCTCTGGCTTCGAGAAAGCGGTACGTGCGCGGATCTTCCTTCCAGTGTTTGCTTTAACTCTCTCGTCAAAGATTCTGAGAGATGGGTGGCACCGTTGTAACTCCCATCTGTCTTGCTTTGTGACTGAATTTCTACTTTTTCTGCCTTCTTTTGGGAACTGGAATCTGACTCTTTTTTATAATCAGGGGCACGTCCAGATCCAAAAATGCTTCGAAAGTTCCAACTGGAGCAGACGCGAGGATGTGACTTTTGACAGGATTCGCTTTGATGGAAACGATTCCACAGGAAACCGCGTCCTGATTCACTGCTGTTACTCGTACAGCTGCTCGATTCTGGTAGGCTCGTCTTACGAGTTGATGACGTGCACGAAGAGCGGAGTCTAGACTGCATCAGGAGCTGACTCTGAGACCGGAGGTTGGCCATCCCTGGATGTTGTGACTGTGAATGAGTGCTTGACGAAATCGTATGCCTAGAGTGGGAGTTCCCCGCCGAGGATGAACGTAACCCATGTCCTTGAGGACCACGGTTCTTCTTCAGCTTGCCGGTGTGCAAGAATGCGAGCCATGCCATGCGAGCTTCAGGGTACTGCACACACCGAACCACAAATATGATGAAGCCTTGAAGTGAGTTGGAAATGCAGAAGATATACTGGAACACCAATTTTGCTTCTCCCAAAGCAAGGGCTCCAAACACCCAAGTGACTCCAAGAAGAGTCATCACAGTGAATGCTCCGCGTATCTAGAATGAACAGAAAATCAGACGCGTACTCCTAAGCTGACATACGCATGCGCGCGCGTTACTGAAAAAGTGAAGAACGTCGACTGCGTAACACTGAAGATACATATTACTGGGACACAAATGCTGTAAAGCTGTCTTACCTGAGCTACAGTTATAGTAGGATTCTCTGTATTCATTCCAACTTTGCCGACAGCGTGGCCATGACCACGTCTCTGAAACAAAACTTTGCTCACAAGGATGAATACAATGCAATTAAGAGCCAAGATGAGACAGGATGGTCCCAGGTAGGTTACGTAATAGAGGATCGGTTTCGATGGAGAGACCATGCAGTACTCAGAATCTGTCGAACTGTAGTACTGCATGTCGTAGAATGCCGTCCCTCCTACGATGACAAGTGGCACTCCTGAAAACACAACATACAAATCAGTCGCTTGCACCTCGCGAAGTCACCATTAAAAAAAATATTAAATTATTTCAGTTTTGGCGCATACCCCAAGCACAAATCATCCTTTTGCACATAAACTTGGTTTCTGAAGTGGCAAAGACTGTGATGAGGAGCTGGTACATGTTGATGGCCTCGACCAACATCCACATGAGAGACGTGAGAACGAGATAGTGAGTGAGCACGGCGACTCCAGTGCATACGTCAATGACAATCAGCG